TCAGCCCAGGAAAGCTCACCAACACAGGGATGGAGGGGCAGGTCCAGAAGTGCGTGGTGGCAGGGCATGCTGTTAGCCAGCTAGGTGGAGAGTGTTGGTGCTGTGCTGGTTCCCACGGGTGTCTGTGTGTCTAGACTGGGTCAGGGGAGGGAAGCGGCACCCACCACCTCTTTTGTTGTTGAAGTCTCCCGAAGATCCCTGCCCTTCCAGCACATGTTCTGAGATTAGTAAATAAATCTCGTATATCCCAGGTGTTTTCAAACTGCTACTTCTATGCTGTATCTCAGTGGGGCTCTTTTTGTGCTGCCTCTTTAAGAGCAGGAATTCAGTTTCCTCTAGCTCTCCTCACTCTCCCAGAGCCCTGCTCACTGAGTTTTAAAGTCCCAAGTGTTAACCCCACTGATTGTAAGAACTTGTGAAGCTAGGCCCATCAGGTTCTCAAAGCCAAATGTGGGGATTTGTGGGATATGTCTTCCTCTTGTGGGTCCCTGGTGCCTGGGTGGGGTCTGCTCTTCTCCCCTCCATGCCTGCAGCTTCCCTCCTATGTTCTATGGACTGCCCTTCCTGCTTTTTCCCATGTGACCTCATCTCTACAGTTAGCTGTAGAGAGTCTGTTCTGCTAGTCTTGGTTTCATTTTCTGGGTTGTGTACCCTGATGTGGATGTTTTAGTTGTATCCATGGGAGAAAGTGAGCCTAGATCACCTACTCTGCCATCTTCCCTCTCATAGCCTATGCAAGTGTATTTTTAAAATTTATTTATTCCGATTGTAGTCATCATGACCACATGATTCTTTTCCAAAAGTCCCTCTTATCAAACTTCTACAACTTTCTTTTTTATTTACTTTGTCATAAGTTTTCCCTCTCTAAAGAACCAGTCTTGTATCAGAACAAAAATATTTTCTCTCAACAGAAGTGTATTCTCAGTCTTCATACCTTTCTTACATATATACTTTCGCTACATACAGAGTTGATTTCCTTATCGCTTCCAGCAGTCTTGATTCCATTTAGCAGAATTTTAACTCCAATGAATTCAGCCCAATTTATTGATTTAACCTAGCAAAACCTCAAAGTTTAAGGTTACCAAAGATTTTGGAAGCTATTTAAAAATTTCTGAACCTTTTCTTTAAAATTTAATTTACTCACTGTTAACCCATGAAAACTTCATGAGACAAAAATCAACCATTATTTTAAGTCATTCTGGCTGACAGATTACAACAGGACAACATGTATAACTTCAGGTAGGATATCAGCTGATTATCTGTATTATATTTGATGTTGATAGCACCAAAAACATGTCTATTTTAAACCAACCTTGAATTAGCTTTAATACTGAATATGCTGCACCTGCGTCTGCTAAAACATTATTCAGTTTGTTCTGTCCTGTCAATTTTACCTGGGGCTCCTGTGGGTTGTTGGAGTCCAGGGGAGTCCTTGGGCCCCTTCATCCTGGTTTGGGAAGTACTCCAGTTTGAACCTCATAAGGAGATAGCCTGTCTGGCAGCTCTGGGTGCTTTTTGCTCCTTGGTAGTGAGGGTAGGAAGAGCAGAAGCCAATGGTGGCAGAGGTGCTGAGGATGCTATAGGGGCCAGCTGGGTGAGCAGCCCTGGTAGTGGTTGTACAGGAACCAGGAGGAAGGTAAGGCAGAGGCCAATTCAAAGTTGGGACTGGCATTTCTTCATTTCCATCTCCTGTCTTTGCCTCCTGCAAAACAAGCTTTCTCTCCATTTGCTTTTCAGCCCTCCGCAGGAGGCAGTGGTGTAGGCAGTAGACTGGGTATCAGCTCTGGTGCTTGTGCTTATGGATTTAGGATTACCAGTGTCTTCCTGTTTTCCTCCTCCTTTTCCTCATTTTTCTGACTACTGAGAAGGGGGTTGGCTGTATTGGTTTTTGTCCATCCTCCTTTCTCAGGACCATCTTTTGAGTTCCTTTACATGGGGCATCCTTCTTATGGAGTGAATAAAAGCCTAAATGTAGGGAATTTCATCCTAGATCATATATAACTTTGAAAAACATTTGAGTTAGTTTTTATCTTCTGAGTTTTAGAAAGTTTTTACAAGTGCTTGCCTTTAAACTAATTAAAGAGAGCTCCTTTACAAATTAATTTTAGCAATGCCATCCCAAGGTGGAGAAAATATCAGTTAGTACACGTAGACACATATATACAAACAAAGATACAAGCAAAATTTAGCCTTTGTTTCACAAAGTTATTTGTGGAGAGGACATTAAAGACCCAATTTCCAAATAATCTCCCTTTGATTAAAACAAATCCAGTCACAAGATAGCATTATAATTTATGGATCCATTAATTAGTTATTTTCCTAGTTTTTGATCAGAACACAGATGGTTTTATCCAAAGATACCAAAAGCTACAGCAACAGAGGGCAGCCCGGGTGGCTCAGTGGTTTGGCGCCTGCCTTCGGCCCAGGGCGTGATTCTGGAGACCCGGATGGAGTCCCCACATCGGACTCCCTGCATTGAGCCTGCTTCTCCCTCTGCCTGTGTCTCTCTCTCTGTCTCTGATAAATAAAATCTAAAAAAAAAAAAAAAAAAAGCTACAGCAACAGACAAACCAAATGAAGACCAGAGTGCCTCTTTGAATGCTGCTGGTTCCTCCCCAAAAGCTGGGGGCTTCATAGCTTCTGGTTGCATAGTCTTACAGCTGGCTAATTGTGTACACAAGAAAATTAACTCAGACATGTGAAGAGAACTCCTTTTGGGCCATCTGAGACTCAGGTTATCCTGAGTAGATTTTCCCGTTTTCATAAGGACTTGCAAGCAGAGACTCCATAGGTCCTGGGCATAGAGAGCTTGTCAGAGTTCCTGTAGGCACTTGTTGGTTTTCTGGGAGCTCTTCAGCTTTTGAAACATGGTTTCCTACTCCTTTTAGTTTATTTTTAGAATAAGGCTTGAATTAGATTTAAGGATGTTTAGCGTGGTGGGTCCAGAAGGTACTGCTTATAAGTGTTCCTTCCAAAGTGCTGTGATACACTCCCCTACGTGCCTTGGTTTCTCCTTTCAAGGGACCAGCAAGGGTTCTTGGAGCACTGGATGATCCATCCTTATGTGTGTACCTGGGGACAAGCCAGTTGCTAGTTACCTTCTGAGATGGGAAATTCCTAATGGAAGCACTGCACATCTCGAAGACTGCCATCAGACACTTCCTTTAGGCTTTCAGCCACCCGAGAACATTATTTGGCCGGGAGGAACAAGTGTCCCTTTTCTTTGAGGCTGAATGACTCGGGCTCTCATATCTAGGCAGAAAATTTGCTCCAGCCTTCTTTAATAATGTCAGTTATTATAATACTGAGTTAAAACAACCAACTCCTGGAGGTTATTCCCACTTGGAGAACATTACTGGTAACCCTTAACAGCATGAATAAAAGGACTGTCACTTCAAAGTGAGGAGGCTGGATATTAGGGTACAAAGGGCCCGTGCTGGTACTGAGCACTGAGTTCCTGACAACCCCCGGGCGTTCTCAGGTGAGTTGCTCTGACATCCTCCAACTATGTGAAGAAATGCTGAGGCAGAGAGAACGAACCTTTTTAAAATTTTTAGAGAGAAAGGAAGAGAATCATATTTGAGCCCCAGTTAAGACAGCTGCCCAGATACTCAGTCTTCACAGAGAAGTGTGCTCTGGGGAGGGAATGTGTGATGCAGGGTAATATGGCTATTGTTGGGTTTTTGTGTGTTTTTTTAACATAGTTACAAACCATCTTGAGCATGGATATTCCAGAAAGTCACAGACTTCTGTTTTAAGTATGTGTAAGGCTGTATGACTTTAATCTTATGGAGACCAGGGAGATTTTTTTTTCCCTTGTATTTGGAATGCTTCTTCTTCTTTTTTTTTTTTTTTTTGGTTTTGTTTTTTGAACAAAGCAGATGTACAGTATGTGCACAGGACAGAAATAGAGCCCATGCTTTGGGGTTTTGCTGAGTCTTTATGACCCTCGTAAGTGTTAAGTATAGCTTCCCTGGGAGCCCGGGGCAGGATCCACGAACATTAAAATTGAAAATTTCCTTTAATTTTATCAAAATATGACATGTAATCCAAAACTGGGATCATCTTCATTCTATTGCCTAACGATGCCAGATTATGATGACGATGAGCAATAATCAGACATCACTCCTATAATAGGGAAAATCTGAAAATAGGAATAAGCTGAAATAAAAACCAAGTATTTTACATGCACTTGCAAAACAAAGTTTACAAATGATTAAGTCCTGACTGAAAAAGAATCGGGACAATTGGGACTGTTAAAAAGACAAGCTGAGGGCAGGTGCTACATGCTCCATTCTACAAGCTTGGCTCTCTGGGGTCCGGAGCTGCAGTAAAATCCCATCTGAAAAAATAAAGAATATGGCTTGGGAGGGTCTGCAGAAGGACAAGTACAAACAGTTATTAAATAAAATCTTAACAGTTGCAAGTCCATGGCAACACAGGTGGCAAGTGGAATCCTGGCACACCTGGCAGAAAGCTGCCCTGCTGCCCCTCGCGTTCTCATCACGAGGCAGGTGGTGGCATTCATCGTGAGTTGGGGTGAGATGGAGCCTATTACTGGAGTTTAGGTCCAAAATCCTGGAAAGTTGTGCTCAAGGCATAACCCAGTGGGGCCACTTCTGTCTCTCGGGGTCACGGGGTCTACCCAAGGCCAAGGCACCACTGTTTGTTGGTGTCAAGGTAGACCAGTGGGTTCTCCGTTAAAGATGTTATAATGTCCAAGGGAACTTCCTTCAGGAGCTTAGAAAAGCCCGTCTTTTCCAGTAGTTCACATGGCAGGGTGGCTGCTCGCATTTTCCCAGAATTCTCCCTCCTGGCTGGGCCAGCCCAGCCCTTTCCTCTCAGCTCTGCCCGGGGATTCTTGTTATTGGGGCTGGACCTGCTGGGGTTGGTCGGGGCTTACCCTGGAGGCCACAGCCCAGCCTGGGGTGAGGGGCAGCATGGGGTCCCCGGGACAAGCAGGGTGCCAGGGTCACGCTTTCTTGGCGTCCTCTCCGCAGGTGGGACTGGACGCGTGCAGCACCCCAGGCTGAGAAGTCGGTGGTGTCACCATCAGGGGGAGTCGTGTTCTGCTTTGTGCATCGGCCCGCGCAGGTACACGGCACCAGGAGCACAGATGGCCTGTCCCATGGGGTCACTGGTAGTCAGCGGCATCCGGGTCCTGGGACGGGCCGTGCTCCTGCACTGCGGGGCTTCTGCTCTCCCGGGAGTGAGTGCTGCGTGTCCTCAGGGAAGGACGCCACCTCCTCCCCACCAGACACAAGCCCCCACCTCTCCTCTGGCACATGGTGCGCACGACCGACCGTCTCTGTGAATCTGATGATTCTAGTCAGTCACCTAGTCCCTTTGTGACTCACTTATCCCACTCGGCATGATGTCCTCGGGATCACCCATGTTATAGCAGGCGTCAGGATTTCCTCCTCCTAAGACTGAATTATAATTTGTGTGCATGGGCTACATTTTGCTTATCCACACATCAGTCGATGGGCACTTGGGTTGCCTCCAACTTCTGGCTCCTCTGAATGATAATGCTTTTGAACGTGGGTGTAGAAATGTCTCACGAAGTCCCTGCTTTTAATTCTTTTGGGTATATCCCCAGAACTGCTGGATCATGAGGTAGTTCTGCTTATAAACTTCAAGGAACCCCCATACTGTTTTCCACGGTAGCTGCACCAGTTTGCATCCCCCCAACAGTGCACAAAGGGCCCGATCTCTCCATGTCCTCGTTACGTTTTCCTTTGTTGGATGGTAGCCATCCTGATGGTGTGAGGGGCTATCTCACTGTGGTTTGGATTTGCATTTCCCTGATGACGAGGGATGTGGAGCATCTCTTCACATGCTTACTGGCCATTCGTACATCTTTGGAGAAACATCTATTGAAGTCCTTTGCTCATTTTAAGACCAGGGTTTTTTGTCATTGTTGTGGTTGAGTTGTAGGTGTTCTTTATATACTCTGGATATTAGCTCCTTATCAGAGGATTTGAAAATATTTTCTCTCAGGGGGCTGTCTTTTCACTTTCAACAGTTGTATCTTGATACACAAAAGGTTTTAATTTTGATGTGATCCAGTTTACCTGTTTTTTTTTTGTTGCTTGTGCACACAAGTAACTTCGTGCCTCTAAGGCATTTTTTTTTTTGTCCCGGATCAGTGTCTAAGGAAACAGAAAAAGTTCAAGGACCAGAAATAGCTTAGAGGCCTTCATGAGTGGGAGGACAGTCTGCCATGAGAAACAGGAAGGAATTCTGTGTGGCTGCTGGGGATGAAGAGTGGGGTGGGGATGTCACAAGGCTTTAAGAAAGACTCCAAAATCACAACTCGGGTACTTTTCTTCTCTTAACAGGAATGTGACAAGAGTACGGAGGGCAGCGGGGAGAGATGGGCCAAGGAACATCTTAGAGACCTTGTTCAGATTCAGGAGGGAAGGAGACAATCCTGACGCCAACGAGATGCATGGCTGTGACCATTCATGCAGCAGTCAACAAGAGCGAGGTGAGGTGTGGACAGGCGGGCAGGCCGCGGGGCTCCCGGGGAGCAGCCGTCTGCCCTTGGGCGCATGAAGGACCGGGACGGGTGCCTGCGTGATGCGTGGTGGCTGGAACAGATGTGCCTGCGGGAGTACACACTGTCTCGGGCAGGTGTGCGGGGGCAGCCAGCCTCCCATGAACGCAGACCTTCTTCATCTCACACTTTTTGATTCAGCAAACATCGGGGATTTGGGAGGGCTTCCCAGGAGGCAAGCACTCGGGTTGGAGGAGCTTTTGCCTACAGCCTACAGGACGTCTCCCGGCAGCCCTGTTCACTCGCAGGCCGCGGGATCCATGGAACATGGTGCTGCGTGGCCAGCACTGCTCACTGTTCCTGCTGCAGTCACTAGGTATTGGCAGGACTCAAGCCTGCCCAACTTTTTGTAATAAGAGCAAGGACGCATAGGATTCCTTCCGCTTGCCTCTCAACACCTCGCACCTACGCAGATGGAAACACACCTTCTGATCTGTCCGTGGCAGGGAATGGAATTCGTGACTCCACACAGAGAAGCAATCTTGGAGCTGCTTAGACAGGCTGTTGACCTCCTCATTGGCCCTCCCGTTTCCAGAGTGAGCCCGTGCAGATGGCCACTGACACGACAGCTACACCTGGTCACCGAGCACAGAAATGCACCTCATGCAGGTGAAGAGCTGGATTTTAATCTTATTTAACATTAATTTTAATGACACTCATTTCGTTAGTGGAAAACACTCATACTTAGGATAACCTGGAGTATAAATTTTTAAACTGTTAAGTGGTATGAAATCTAAATACAGATAAACTGTTTCTAATGAAAATTTACTGTCAGAATTGAGATGTGCTCTAAGTGTAAATAAAATACAGTGTATTTTAGAGACAGCACCAAAAAAATAAAAAAACACCCACCATTGCAATAATTACAATATTTTGTAAAATATTGATGACTTGTGGTTGGACAGTGTCTTAAATACATGGTGTTAAATAAAATTATTTAAAAATTAGAAATTTTTAAAATTTTACTGTGGCCATTAGGAATTTTTACATTGTATATGTGGGTATATTTGTTAACCTTGAGCCAGACAAAACAGGATTAAGTGAAAGACTTCCTTTTCTTAGGAGAAAATAACTTTTTAGATCAACTTCTCTAAGAAGCGTTTACTTGAAAACTCTATCCTATGTTCGTACATAACTCCCCCCGAGCCACCAAATCCTTGCTCAGCAGCTGGGCAAGCCAGTTGGCTGCAGACAGCTCCTGGAGTGTTTCAGGATTATTTCTTGGCAGCTTTTGAAAAAAAACACTAATTGAAAGGTTAATCAAATCAGTCATACTTGCAGTGTTGGTTAAACAAACACCCTGTCTCCACTGAAGACTGAACAGATGCAGGGCTCTGCACAGGCGGCCCGCTGAATCCATCCCCGTGTTTACTTTCCTTCCAGGGTGTGAGCAGTAGGGCAGCATCCTGAATACCCTGCAAGCAAAACTGTGTTCTCAACTATGAAACTCTTTCTCCCTTTCAGAATTTTGCAGGATTTAAGATATTTCATAGCAACAATGATTCCGCCTGGGGTACGTGAGAGGAAATGGCTAGTTCTACAGGTAAGTTTAAAGTTTGCTCAGGTACAAAATTAGCTGCAAAGCAGACAAATTTGGAGGTACAATTTGTTAAAAATACAAGTAGATGGCAGAATGTAGTCCATCTAAAAAACAAATGCTCTTAGGGCATACTTTAAAGAGCTCAAGATAAATACTTCTGGTAGCCAATCAAAGATGCCCGTCATGCTAAGTGTGCCTGTAGGTGTGGTGTGCCCACCCGCTGACCGGGCAGCTCCCCAGGAAATCCCACAGAAAGCCAAGGTCAAGGCAGAAACTTGGAAGATAGTGATCCTTGCATTTAAATGATGAAGCATGAGATGATTCCCCTTCCACTTGGAGAAAGAGCTCCACACGGTCCTACCCCAGCAGAGCCAGGAGAACATGTGAAGAAGTGACATCCCGAGTGTGTGACCATCACCAAAGCCCTAGAGGAATACGGAGAATTCCCATAACGTGGACTCATGTTCTTTCTGTGCTTGTGTCTTTCCACCTAAACTATATTCAAGAATTAAGGAATTATTGAGTGTGTCACAACTGTTTCTAGGGAAGATATTTCAGAAATTGTTATGGAAGCAAATTCAGTGTCTCAGGAACATGTATGCCTGATGAGCACAGTGAGAGCAACTCTGCTCTTAAAGACATTAATATACTGAACATAATAGTGTATTAACTGTTAGCAGTTCCCGACCTTCTGAGAGGGTGTCCTCCGACTGGATCCCGCAAGAAATGTAGGAGCACAGGATCTGGAACGGAACTGGGACAGACACGGGGTCTCGAAGGCTCTGCCTGGTGGGTGCTGGTGCTGCTGCTCAGGAGTTTATTTTGCCTTGAAATTAATTAATGCAAATCATAATAAATTATGCAAAAAAATCAATTCTAAGTTCAAAAGTACATTTATTTAAAATGTGGGCAAGATATCAATATAAAAGAAAAGAGTATAAGAAATAAAAATAATCAAAGTACAAAACATTTCAAATCTTTAACATCCATAATTTAGAGATAGCAAGGTCTTTATTTACACCATTTTTTTTGTAGCCGAAGTTCTGTTAAGTGTTTGAAAACATTTAAAAACCTGGCAAATGAATCATAAAACCTAATGTGGGCTCATAAATTCCTATAATACAAAACATAATTTATGTTTCCTCAGAATAAAATTACACATCTTAATAAGATGCAGTATATTTATTATATTTGTTCTCCTGCTTTAAAATGCCTGCCTCCTAAAGCAGCTGGAAAACATGGGCGTCTGAAGGGGACGCAGCCAGAACTCGTCCCAGGGCTCCAGTCACAGCGCAGTGTCGATGCCATCAGTTAAATTTATATGTAGGCTTGTTAAGGAAAACACATTTCAAACACAATACGAACTAACAGCCCGTACAGGGGGGGGCAGGGATCCCAAATCTAGTTAGGTAAGTACCTGACGGCATTTTTTTCACTCACAGGGAGCTTTATGGATGCCCCTGCACTGAACTCCCGCAGCCTGAGCGCAGCAGACCCTCTGCGGTGGTGGGACCTGGCACACATGCTCGGAAGCGATTCTGCTCTGCAAAGCTGAGGCCCTGTCGTGGCTGATTCTCCTTTCAACTACGAGGTACAAAGCGCAGGCTGCTGGCCCTGGAGCCCCCACCACAGACAAGTCCTCCCTCCCTGGATCCTCCAGAGCACCTGCCAACCCCTGCAGTTCTGACCCATCCTCCTGGAACAAAATTAAATCAGGCTCCTTTCTGTTTCTAGATGGAGAGAAAAAAGGTCCCTGAGAGGACACCCATAAATCACCCCAAAGCAGTTGTTCTTTCTCAAAGTAGTACAGGATAGACATTTAGTATTTTTAAAAACTCTGGAAGAGTACAAACTATAAAGAAAATGCTCCTATAAGTACAGTCTCTGCAAAAACTCAACAGGCCTTCTATCACAGAACACATACGGCTTTGCTATCAGTGGTGTGCGGCTTTCGAAAAGGATATGATTCATAGTCCAGTGTTTGTGTGAGCACTCCAGTGAGAATGAACTCTGCATTGTGAACATCTGAAAGGAATGAAACCAACAATGTGAAAGTAAATGTGCTGCTGTGTGTACACACACACTCCAATAAAAAGAGCAATAAGCCATACCTATTCCTCTGGCAAAATATTCTCGACATAAATGAAGGTCATTTTCACAGGATATTAAAATTATTTCTGACAAACTCTAAGGAAAAGAAAAGGAGGTTATTGGTTACTGAACAAGGAATGTTATTGGGCAGTGACGAAATCAGCAGCCTGTCTTCTACCTACCTTATTTTGCTTGTGCTCCACGAGTTTCCGGAAAGATGGTTGTTTAGACAACACTCGTCCTCCTGCACATTCCACGATCGCCTTCATGGTCGAAAGACTTGGGCAGATTCCAGGTGTGATGTAAAAATATTTCGCCTAAAAATAAAAATATGTGCACATTTTTAAGTGCTTTGAATCTTGGGGGTATGTAATTTTTCATAAATTCTACTGGCAGTTTTTATAAAATGTATAATTTCATGAAGTTACAGAAGTACCAGGCCCTGCAAGTTCCCATCGTGAGGTGGGCCTGGAGGGACCAAGGATGCCAATCTGAAAAAACTGAAGCATTTTCCTGTATCAGGTAAGGCTTGTGATTAGTAGAAGTACCTGGAACCTCTGCCCTAAGAGACATGAAGGATCCCGTGGTGTCGGCAAGGACGCTACATCATCCACCTCGTGTGTCAAGCGAGAGGTGGCTGAGAACCTGCATGACCTCTCTTCAATACCTGTGTGCTTCGTGGGCTCAGACCAGGAAATGATCCTGATGGTGGAGATCTAACTCTCCAATGCCTGTTCTCTGAAGTGCACCACAAAATACTATGTTTTAAACTGCTCATAGAAAAAGAACATTTAGAGAACTCAGACTATTTTAGGGAAGCTCCATCGTAACATTCTCATTTTCATTCCTAAGCTGGTTCCTTGAAAAGGGTAAAAGCAGAACGATACAAAAATTTTTTTCAAGCTGTTCTAACAAATATTTAAAAGTCTTCTGTCTTTAATTGTTTAAGTATACAATATTTTTCCAAGAATCCTCATTTTGCAGCTGAGCACACATTTAATGAGAAGAGCATGAAGTAGCAAAGATTTGTGAAAAGCAGAAAAATCAACCTAAGTGTCTCTTACCAATTAGATTATTCATAACACACTCCCTGAACACCCAGACACTTTGAGCGTGTCTAACAGAATGAAGGGCAGTGCTCTGGAGGCACGCTGGGCCTCCCCAGCAGAGACCTCCAGGAACACGACCAGCTCCCCGGGGCCAGTGTGTGCTACCCACTTAGTTACTGTCCCTCCCACTGTGCTATGTGTTGGCATACAGGGCAACTACACTTTACCTTGAAGAGGGGGGAGGTGTGCGCCCTTTTCAGGGACTCTTCCAGACTGAAAGAGAACAGCACTTCAGCTTCGGCATCTCGGAGGAGGTAGTTCTGCTCATCTGGAAAACAGAGCCACTGGGTCAGAAAAGTGCAGACTAGAGGAATACTGGGCACAGAGTTCCGCCCTAGAGGTCTCCCCACAGGTCAGGGGCATGTGTCGCTCACGGTTCACACTTCCCTGGGAACCTCAGAATACTGAGATCTCACACCCTCCCCCCTGAATACAGCCAGACAAAGGAAAGACAGACTGCCTTCTCTGCAGCATGTCTTAACCTCTGGGGTCATACACTCTTGGAAACAAATGGATGGAGAACCAGGGACCCTCTCCACTGCCACACCCTGCCACCAGTTCATGCGGTTTCAGGGAGTTCACAGTCCCAGCGCCACCAGCTCAGAAGCAGCATCACATCCACGTGTGTATGATGACCACAAGTCTCATCAATTAGACTCACTGAGCTGATAATCCATTACACTTTACAGATCTAACAAAAATATTCCTTTTAAATATATGAAAGTAGATAGCAACTCAGAATAGTTTCACTAAATCTTGAAGCCTTAGGAGAATTTTAATTCTGCTGAACAACCTTCTTTTCATAAAGCAATGAGGCTTTAAACATGTAAAAAACATTCTTAGCTCACAGGCCACAGTTTGCTGACCCTGAGCAATAAACAGCGAACGAAATTCTTAACTGCTAGAAATACAAGATCATTTGATCAGCCAGAGAAAGCTGCTGTTTTAAGTGAAAAAAATGTGTCTGAAAACAGAAATAAAAAATGAAAAGTAGTCACATGTGAAATATCTGAAATGTAAATTTCTAGGGCAACCATTTAGGCCCTCTCAACTGGTGAGGAGGCCCCAGGCACAGCTCTGACAGCTCCATCACAGAGGAGATGCTATGCTTGGCCTTTAACAAGGAACAGGGTTGCGTTATGTGCGTAGGAGTCTGTGGAAAGACTCAACATGAAAATGAAGCTTTTGCCAGCGGCACAATAGAAACAAGTATCCCAGAAAGTGATTATCTGTAAAATTGGTATGTAAAACTACATAAATTAGAGGTAAATACAAAACTATGCCTCTAGCACATCTTGAACAATTCAGTTCTGAAGCAGTGGGGGCCACGGTAGGGCTGGCACAGGCAGGCGAACGGATGGTGCCATGCTGGCGAGGCGGTGGTGGCTAACTTGGGAGACTGGTTGCACAGAGTTGCAATCCGATTCCTCGCTGGGGGGAGAAGGGGTTTACAGACATGGGGCAGAAAGACCAAGGGGACAGGCTGAAAGACCCTGAGGCCAGCCCCAACAGCTCTTGCCGTGCAAGAGGCAACAGTGTGCACATCAAGGACAGCACGACAACCACCCACCGAGAACACTGACAATGGAGGCCACACAAGGAAATGAGGAATCCAAGGACCAGTAACACTGCACGGTTTTCAAGTACTTCCCCATAAATGACATGTCACTGCAGAGGCCGGCATGTACCCCCTGCACCAGGGAGCACAGCACAAGCCCTGGCAGGAGCGGGGCTGTCCTGCCCCCAGTTGGGGGGCAAGGCGGCACGGGGGGAAGTGGGTACACCCACAGAGGGACGGTCTATAGAATAACCAGCCTAAGTGACAACGGAACACCAAGGACACGTGGCAGCCCCCTGCATGGTTCTGAACCAGACGCCCTGGCCTTGAGGGACACCCCTGGGACCATCAGGCAGAGCTGAATGAGGTCCGATGAGGAGACAGCAGCAGTGGCCCTGACTGATAGCTGTACCACAGCCATCAGTGTGTCCTTTCCCACAGGTAACACACACACATCGAGGTGTTCAGGGAGGATAGCGCATTGCTTTGGTAATGGACTCTTTCATGGTTCGGGAAAAAGCAGTAATTTGTACCATACTTGCAACTGTTTGGTAACCTGGTGATGCTTTCAAATAAGAAAAACGAGAAAGATTATGCTTAAAGATCGGTAAAGGGGATCCCTGGTTGGCTCGGCGGTTTAGCACCTGCCTTTGGCCCAGGGTGTGATCCTGGAGTCCCGGGATCAGGTTCCACATTGGGCTCCTGGCATGGGGGCCTGCTTCTCCCTCTGCCTGTGTCTCTGCCCCCCTCTCTCTCTGTGTCTATCATAAATAAATAAATAAAATCTTCAAAAAAAAAGATTGGTAAAATGCTAAAAGATGAGTAAAAGAAAGAAATGACTCTGAAAGCAAAAATTCAGACACTAACTACCAATCACACATTAAGGTAAATATTCTTTTTGAGAAATTAAAAAATAATCCAAAAGTGTAAACTTTTGGCAATACAAAGTATCTTTAAATGTGTATTAATAATAAATGATTTACATATACCAACAAACTGATCCTAAGGTTGAGATGGGAGGAGAGGACCCAGAACAGCCAACCCAACACCAAAGGACAAGAGCCGAGCTGGAGGACCGCTAGTGCCCGACTCACGTCAGTGCTGAGGAATCAAATGCATGTGGCACCGGCAAAAGAATCGAACGGGGAGAGAGCACCCAGAAAACCCACATAAACTACATATATGGGTCTTTAACAAAGGAACAAAGGCAGTACAACTGAGCAAAGATCATCTTTTCAACAACTGGTTGTCCACATGCGAAAAACTAAATCTAGACAGACACACCTGCACAGAAATTAAAATGGGGGGCCCCTGGGTGGCTCAGTAGCTTAAGCATCTGCCTTGGGCTCAGGTCATGATCCTGGGGTCCTGGTATCGAGCGCCACATCAGGCCCCTTCTGAGCAGGGAGTCTGCTTCTCCCTCTGCCCCCTTCCCCTGGCTCATGCTCTCTCATTCTATTTAAAAAATCTTTTAAAAAAATTAAAATGAGCACAGACCCAACTGTAAACTATAAAACTCCTAGAACATCGGAGAAAATCTAGATGACCCTAAATATGGCAAGGACTTTAGATACATCACGAGAAGCACAATCTATGGAAGAAATAATTGATAAGCTGGACTTCATTAAAATTAAAAACTTGTGTTCTGGGAAAACAGTGTTAGGAGAATGAGAAGATAAGCCACAGACTGGAAGAAAATGGTGGGAAAAGAAACATCTGATAAAGGACTGCTATTCAAAATATACAAAAAGTGTCCTTGAGATTTAATAATAAGAAAACAGCCCAATTTCAGAAAAGGGCAAAAGGGACGACTGGGTGGCTCAGTGGGTTAAGCGTCTGCCTTCGACTCAGGGTGTGATTCCGGGTCCTGGGATCGAGTCCTGCATTGGGCTCCTTGCACGGAGTCTGCTTCTCCCTCTGCCTGTGTCTCTCTGCCTCTGTGTGTGTCTCTCATGAATAAATAAAAAAAATCTTAAAAAGGGGGGGGGCAAAAAATCTGGACATGTCACCAGAAAAGAGAGATGGCAAATACACACATGAAAATATCCTCTGTGTCATTATCAAACTGCAAATTAAAGCAAAAATGAGATTACCACTCTACCACTGTTAAAATGGTGGAAATTTAAAACACTGGCAATACCACATGCAGCAAGGATGTGGAGCAATAGGCGCTCTCTTTCCTTGGTGCCGGGAGTGCAAAGTGGTACAGCAGACACAGAAGACAGCGTGGTGGATTCTCACCAAACTAAACGTGCCTTTACCACACACACAATCCAGCAATCACACCCCTTGGTACGGACTCAAAGGAGTTGAAAACTTACATCCACACAAAAGCTACATAAGAACAATGACAGTGGGATCCCTGGGTGGCGCAGCGGTTTGGCGCCTGCCTTTGGCCCAGGGCGCGATCCTGGAGACCCGGGATCGAATCCCACGTCGGGCTCCCGGTGCATGGAGCCTGCTTCTCCCTCTGCCTGTGTCTCTGCCTCTCTCCCTCTCTCTGTGACTATCATAAATAAATAAAAATTAAAAAAAAAAATTTAAAAAAAAAAAAAAAAAGAACAATGACAGTGACTGTATTCATAATTGTCAAAACTCAGAAGGAGCCAACATGCCCATCATTTGGTGACCAGATAAACTGTGGTCCAGGCAGACAGTGGAATGTTGCTCAACGCTATGAAGAAACCAGCTCTAAAGCTGTGAAAAGACAGAGGAAACCCAGGTGCATCTCACTAAATTGAGGAAGCCACTGTGAAAAGGCTATGGACTGAGTCCAACACCATGACACTCAGAAAAGGCAATTATTGTAAACTAGAAAAATTCTCTTAAATCCTGATATCTGGGGGGGTGGGGGGGTGTCAAATGTGAAATGTTTACTATTTACTATTTATTATTTACTATTTACTATTAAATGTTTACAACACGACTAAACCACCTTCTAACAGAGATCAATGGTTATGTCATAAACAAATGCAAGTCAGTCAACCAAAACTTCATGAAATATAAACTGCTATAAACTTTATAAACAGATAAAAAAAATCATGTTTCACAACCTGATAAATTAAGTAACTCAAATTTCAGTGAAGGAACAGACTGTCACATTTTAAATTTTATAGCGCTTCTACAAAATTGGGAGCTAATATATATGTTTATGGGAATTGTTCCTCTACAACTTTTTTCTTCTGCCTACATTGTTAGGTTTTGTATTTCACCAATATCTTTTTTTTTTTTTTAAGATTTTATTTACTTATTCATGAGAGACACACAGAGAGAGGCAGACACACAGGCAGAGGGAGAAGCAAGCTCCATGCAAGTAGCCTGATGTGGGACTGAATCCCAGGACTCCAGCATCACGCCCTGAGCCAAAGGCAGATGCTTAACTGCTGAGCCACGCAGGTGTCCCTCCAATATCTTTTAAGAACAAAAATTATTTTCAATTGAAAAAATTTTTAAGTATTAATATAGTTATCCTCATTATATGTGGATTTTACATTTGGAACCTCAAATCTGTATTTGTGGAGTTTTTGCAGTCACTTGCAGAAACACATAGCAGTGGCAAACCAGAGCCTCCAAATGCGTGCCCTTTCCCAGAAGACGTCTGCCTTCATTCAATATATACCGTAAGAAAGTTTCCTTTCTATGGTCTATTTAGTATTATTATTATTTTTTTACATTTTTATGCTTTTTGTTGGTGACTCTGTAGTTTCCAATGCCCCAGCATGGACTGTGGTGCTGCAGCGCCCCCCAGGGAAGAGGCCACGTTGTGCTGTATGGAGAAAGCACGAGTTATGACGGCTTCATTCAGCCACCAGTTATGCACAGCTGGCCCGGAGGCCAGTGTGAAGGAGGCAAGAATAGATTCTAACAGTGTCTTTAAACAGAGGTACACATAAAACAAGGTTTTACAGAGCCCTACAAGTGTAGATATTGATCAGTTGATAAAAATGTGACCAGGGTTTGCAGGAACCCAGCCCTGTGTTTCCTCTGAGAGCAATGGCTCAGTGTTCTAGAAGTTGGGGTCTGTGGCTACTCTGTAGAACAGAAGTACCACTAGAGTAATGAGAATTGACTATACTATTGTAATTGGAAATTTATTTTCATATAATGATTCTTTCCTATGATTGATTTTGATACAGAATCATGGAATTTTAAGTTTGGTTATAGCTTTGCTTATAGCTATGGTTTGTTATTATAAATAATATATATTTATAATAAGATAATTTTCTGAATCATACTTTCTCATCTGTATATTAGACTACATGAACTTTAAAATATATATACCTTTATTAATTGTTTTAAAGACTGAATTAGGTTTAAACACCAGTGGCCAAGAAAATAACATGGATCTGAAATACTTCAGTTTAACATTAACAACTATTTGTCCCTATTAGGGACAAATTAGGTTAGTTTTGTGGGTCAGAACAGTGCGAGGCCAGTGGGGACCTGGAGGGTCTGTGGGTCTGGTGGATGCATATCATCCCACTGCTCCAGGGGCAGCAACAAGGGGGGTGCGGCCTCTGGGGTACATGGCTGGCATAGAAATACGGGTGTGTGTGCCCTAATCAGAGGCTAGTGAGGTCACAGCCACAGGATGGGGGGAATGGAACACAGGGGAGCTAAGTCTCTGCACCACTGTGGTTGGGGCTTAAAAACCAAAACCAAGAAACCAGACTGAGATTGTAGTGAAGCTTGTCACAGGGCCAAACCCCTCTCTTCTCACTCCCCTCAGATTGGTGGCCAAGTGGGGGCTGAGCATGTGTATGTGGGGGTCACAGTGCCCTGGGAACACCCGCACACAGAAGGCACTGCCACTGCTGCTCACGCTAACTTACCTAACAAAGGTGTGTGTCAATTTTGGCCACGTAGTTTCTGTGGAGAAACAGACTGGACTCCCTATGTAGTAAAGTCTGAAAACACTTGAGGACACTGACAAAGGGAAAACCCTTCCTATGCTGTCTGTAAGCCTCACTGCCTAGAAGGAAGCCACTCTGAGGGCTCTGAACGGTGAGGGGTGGGCGATGGGAGGGAGACACACATCCCTCTGACGGAACCTGCCATCAGAACTGCACCAAGACACTCATGGACACCACTGTGTGGGAGAATCGCACTCTACAGCCAGTGTCCAAACAAAGTGCATTGACCAGGAAACAAAACAGCAGTGGCAGAGAGCTTATTTTCCCCTAACGCTGTCCAAATGACCACAACCTTTCCATTTCATAGTATGATGCAAAAATATCAAATTCCTTCCATGTCACAACCAGTTATTTGTCAATTCAATGGTGAGTTCTCAGGAAAAAAAGCAAACTAGATGTTTCTTGGGATGAAAATGGGGGGGGGGAGGTCAGTTTTTAGCATGAAAAACTAAGGCAGTGACACCACCACCTACCAATAAACTTCTGACACTTGAAACACTCCTCCAGCCACTCTGGGGTCACGATGTGCTTCACCACAGAGATGGCCGTCAGGAACTTCACGGTGCGCGTCACTTTGCTGGCGATGAGGTGTGTGCATTTCTGCGCGGACTCAGCAACCTCGCCCCCGAGAATGTAGAGCTTCTAAAGGCAGGAGCACAGAGCAGAGATGAGCGCAGGGGTACGGGCCACCCGACAGCGCGGCACAGACGGCACAACGGTGCCGACGGTACACGTGTCTGTAATAAAGTCCACACAAACCCCGATAAAAAGAGCACTTCTCCGTCAGACACCACATCCCTAACAGATAAAGTGCCCCAGAACCAGGCAGCACATCTCATGAAAGGTGTGAATGTGCCCAAGCTTATAGCTGAAACAGGTGCTGATGAAGCACAGTGACATACAGTCTCTGGTTTCACAGACTCCTAGCAGAGATGTGATGAGAAGACACGAACAAGTGAACAAGAGATCAGTGACTACACCCAATTGTAAAAGTAAAAAAATTAAAAATTGCACTAAACTTACAACAGCATTTGTAACTGTTTCTTTTCCTTTAAAAAACCGAAAGCACAACATACAAATCAAACACGATGCAGGCCAACTTGAAACCGCAATCCTCGCCCCGCCCTGCCCATGGGAAGCTGCTGTAGGACACATCTGTAAGGTCGCATTCCCACCTAGTATCCAAGCACACACAAACACAACTCCCCCCCGAGCCCTCCACCCTGTGGCCTGTGGCTTCTGTGGGAGACGCAGAGTGGCAGGCATACCCCCTACTCTGGGGGTTCTAGGATGATGGCACGCAAGCAGGCTTGCATGTTCACGTGACTATAAATATGGGTCTTGCTCTAATCACCAGTCATATTTTTCTATTAAAGCAAGTGTCTAAGTATAAAACTATAAAAAGCACAGAACAAGCTGAAGACTCATTAACAATTTCATGACCACTTGTTATTGTAAGAAATACAACTACTTTATAAACATACGCTGTAAAGACTACAGTAACAGGGTATTCCTGATTAAATGTTATTTTAATAAACTGCTATCCTAAAGCAAATAAACACAGAAAAGCACAAAGCTAAAGACCCTCAGAGAAAGCAGAATATAATTTTACCTTAATATATTGTTGGACTTGGACAGGCTCAAACCCCGTGAAAAGCACAAAAGGAGTCAATTCTGGTGTTAACTTTTTAGTGGGAGGTGGCAGATCTTCGATTCTATAAAATAAATAGAATAGAAAGGTGACTTTACTTAGAATAAAAATGTTCTTTAGCCAACAAGGGATTTTAATAGTTTTAACAACTGTCCAGAGCTTTAACCATGTGGGGATTTTTCTGTAAAGGAAAATGAGTGGTACCTGTCTTTTCTTCCCACCGTTTACACAGTCACCCCTTTTACCCAGCCAGCGTCCCGGGAGCTGCAGCCGAGTCTCACACGCCCTTTACTCACCCCCATCTTACACCAAAAGGCTCAAAACAAGCCATCTGACTTAAGCACACATTTTCAATTCAATCACTCAGTCTTTACATATCCTTACAATTTTCAATTCCTCTGAGCTTACATCTGAAATCATCCAAGTAAAATAATTTTTTAAAGTTTATTTGATTTGATTTTGAGCATCCAACTCTTGATTTCAGCTCAAGTCTTGATCCCGAGGCCATGAGATCACGCCTCAGGTCAGACTGTGCACCGGGCACAGAATCTGCTTAAGATTCTCCCTCTCCCTCTGCCCGTCCCACACTGCTCACGCTCGCTCTCTTAAAACTTTATAAAGTCACACAATTAGGATGCTACTGAATACTTCTGTAATTCACAGACTGTAATGTGGGGTGGAAGGAGTATGATGCAGAGCAGCGGAGAGATGAGAAGGTTGTGACTGCACAGGGCAGCCCAAGCAGGTAAACTGTGGTTTGCCAAGTCCAGCTCAGAAATAAGGGCTTTTCCAGACTCACGGATGAAGAAGAAAACTCCCTAGTTCAACTTGTATCTGCTGTGCCTTACTAATCACATAAGGCAGGACTTCATTACTGACCCATACTGGCCAACCAGGTTTTTAGCAGGTGAGACCAGTGCACCACATATGTCCTTCCAAAGGGGTCTTGGCCCCTGCCTACCTGAGCCACAGGGCATGCCCGGAGGGCACAGTCCCATACACAATGGCACAGCCAGCCCACCAAGGCCTTCCACCTGCTCTGCTACAGCAGCTATACTTTTACTGAGGTTCTGATAAGGTTTTGCTTTAAAAAATAAAATGAATAAAAATGAAAAGATTCTTTTTTTCTTTAATAAAAAAGAAGTACTTGTCTACCCACCTTTATATCCCAATCACAACAAAGTTGTGAAGCAATAAACAAATCCAATTTATTGTGAAATGTTCAGAAATTTCCCCAGTTGTGACCAGTTTCTAAAACAGCCCTGTAAACAATAACCAAGCACAAGAGACGTATGGGACCATTCATACCTGGCTCTTTTGGAAGAAGGCTGGATGTTGGTCACTTCATTCTGTTTCAGTTTGGGAGGTAGTCTCATACTCTGTAATTAAAATATCACTCACTTTAATCACTCTCACAAGTAACACGGGAGCTTCCAAGAGATTTATGTGTCCCATAACCAACCCCTCTCCTACATAATTCATGCTCTCCACTGCATCAAAACCAGCATTAGCCCAGAAGAGTGACAAGGAAGTCTCCATCCAGGAGCAGGAGGGCTTTCTAGAACCTCTGTGTACCTCTCAGCCTGCCTTCCAGGCTCCCCAAGCCTCCCGGTCCTCAGATGCCCTGAGGAGGTCTCCGTCTCCCCCACCCCCCCCCATGCTGCACATGCAGTCCTCCACCTTCAATACTGCATGGCAGTTTTTACTTCCAATATGTCTTGTGTCCCACTTTGGAATTTGGAAAACATTCTCACTGCAGTTACATTCCCTGGAAAACGACTACTCCTCAAGCAGAAATCCTGCCTATGGCGGTTCACACTGGGCAGATGAGCAACACTGCTGAGCACAGGACCAGGTGCCGCAGGGTAGCTTTCCCAGAACTTCTTCCAGAAGACACTGTGTCTATTTTACTGTGTGAAACCACTACCTATCTTATTAACTGACCTTAACACTTTCTAAACACAGCTGCTGTATATAGAAGACCACAACAGAAGTCTCTACAGAAAACACCTGGGACCTCCTCGCCCAGTCACACATGGGACCAGGCTCTACTTTCTCTCACTGCTACTGTGACAAGGAGACCACCCTCGGCTCTCTGCAGCCAGCAAGCACTCGCAAGTGTCCACATCACGTGTCAGCAACAAGAAACCCAGAGCTCTGTAATTGCTGACACAGAGCCACAGAGAAAGAGGGGTCTGGGAAGGGAAGAACTCATGACCACGTTCCCAGCCTCACCTTAAAAGCCACTCAACATTTCTTTCCTCCAAAGGAATTAGGAGAATATTGGCTTTTGCTGATGTGTCAGGGCTGGTCATGTTTTATTAAAATCATAATTATGAGTTTAAGCAAAGAAAAACAAACCCATGTGAGCACATGATCATGAGCATGAAGGAAAGAGACTGTGATGATCATCAGCGGCTTCCAGGTTAGATATGGAAAACAGCCGGGCAAGCCCTCAATCAGCACAGGCTGAGACGCTACTAGGGAATCCTGACAGGAGCCCTCTCCTCAGTTGGTGTTTAGGGGACACAAACCCTCAATCTCCTCTGTAGCTCTCATGGATGCACTGAACATCAGTGGGCACGTGATACAGAAGTCCATTACTGAAACAACCCAGGTGGGTACATATGGTAACAGGCACGAAGCCCTACTACCACCAACAACGAAACCATAGCTGCCCTCATGGTGGCAGGAGCATCAGCAGTAACCGTGAGCAGGAGACATGTTCTATAGTGTGACATTACTGAGCTGTGACACGGAAACACACCAGAAAATACAATGCACGTGCCACCATCAGAGATGGCCCCCAGCTACACAGCATCTGCCAGCACTCACACCTGCTCCTAGTCCTCAATCAGAGACATCCCCGACCTGGCCAGGCCACCTCATCTCCTCTGCAGCCCAGAATGAGTCGGAGCTGCTAGGGCTGCTTTCAGGGCTCCCAGCCCGCACAGGTGACAGAGACAAGGTGGGCACTTGTCCTACTTCCTCCTCCACTCTCTGCTCTGAAGCCAACCGAGCTTCTCTGTGTGTAAGTACCAACGAGGGACAATACCATCAACTGAGGGGGGAAAGACCCAAGGTGTGCTAAACACTTTATGAGAAGCGAGAAGATACAACTTCATTTGCTATGCTGACAAGTTGAAGAGTTTTTAACTGACAAATACAAATCTATACCCACTGCGTGTTTCTAAGGTGTGACAGCCTAAGCGACTGGGCCAAAGACTCAACCTACCATCAGTAACTCTGCCGACACCTTCAGTGGGACTCTCCAAGCATCTAGAGAGAGAAACAAGTTATTTTTACAACAACACACTGTTGAATTGGAAAAGCCTGTTTGTGAAACCCTTTTCTGGGGTTAGCCTTTGACACATAGGTGGCCTCATGGGCATTTATCAAGGATGCATATAAAGACTGTGCTGATGCTTCCAGTATAAGGGCAGGTGAGGAAGTGCAGCAAGCAGCTCTGGGGCTGTGCTCAGGGGGTTCAGTACCCGGCATCCTCTAGACAAGGAGCATAGTGACAGGGGCCTAAAGCAAAGCTGTTCCATGGCCCAGTCTGGGGGCCACCGGCCATGTCTGGGAGCCACAATCCCCTGTGGCAACAGGAGCCCAGCATGAAGGACACAGCACGTCCCCCCTGCCCCCCACAACAGCCGAACTAAATGCTTTGGGGAAGGACGATGAGTCTTTGCAATGCTTTCATTTCAAAACCAAAGGCAGATGGGCACATATGTCCCAGGGAGGGAGATTATGGCTCAAAATGAAGAAATTTCTCATGATCAAAGCCATCCAAAAATCCAGCTGAATGAGCTTTTAAAAAGCAAGCATATGAAAGCAAAGCCTGAATGATCATTTCCTTGGGTGCGTTCACTTAAGCATGTGCAGCAGAACCAAGTGCTGTAACGGACTCCAGGAGCAGGAGGCCACAGTCCAGGAGCAGCAACAGACATGCACATGCCTGCCTAAGGTCCGGCAAGGGCAAGGGGAGGAGTTGGGGTGCTCACTTACAAGGGAAGGAGAGAAAGCAGGGCACATTCCATGGGGTGGGAGAGAAGCGCAAGCTGGCTGAAGAGATAACAGTGCTCCTCCCAGCTGTAAGCATCTACTATAAAGGCAAACAAGCACAGCAAACCAGAAGGAACCCCTGCGCAGGGTGGAGTAGAAGGGGGTGAGGAGACAGGAAATGATGTCAATTACAAACAATGGGAAAGCTAGTGCCACGACCATGCCTCAGGTCAGAAAGAAACGGCAGGAGCATGTGTAACCCTCTTCGTCTGACAGCCCGTGAAACTCCACTTACCCAGAAGATTTAAAACCAGATGCTGCGTCGGGGCAAATGGCTCCTGCAGATTGAACGCCGTGTAGCGGCCGTAGTGCACCTGCCTCAGCGCCTCGAAGTTCCCCAGGAGTATGTCGCCAAGCCACTGGGCATTCACACAGGGTATCCTCCACTCCTTGGCTTTTTCATACTTTAAACCAATTGGTCTTTTTTTTTTTTAAAGAAAAAAGATTTTTTTTAAATGTTAGACTTGTCTATTGTTCAAAATAATGTTTATTTTCAACAACATAGAAATACCAGGGGTATCTTAGCACAGGTGATGATAACCTCCGGCTGGTCATTTCAGGACACGTCCCAGGGCTCCTGCTGGGTCACCAGGTCATCCACTACTTCAAAAGGTTTACCTTATTCCCACTACCTAATTAGTTCTCATCTCCCTAATTCATCTAATTTCCTTCCAGTGTTTTATAGATACTTCTGCTCTCACTGCCCTTGTTCTAAAAGACATCGATTTGCTAACTCCCAGCAGAGCCAGGCTGTGCTCAGAAATGCAAGAAGGCAGTTCGCCATGGGAATCCCAGAGCCGCACTTACTCTTTGCAGATGAGCACCGTGTTGCTGCGGCACAGGTAGCCTGTGTACTTGGCGCCCGCCAGGCAAGCCATTAGCTTCAGGTCGTCTCTGTCACTGTCGACAAATCCAGTCACAGAAATAATCTAAGCACAAAGAGAGCAAATAAGGCCAAAACGCAGCAGTGATCTAACCCGCAAACACCCCCTTCTCTGGGCCTGCTTTATGCGCATGTATTTTCAGCCTCCACTGGACATTTCTGCACAGAGGCCGTAACGCCACTCCGATGAGCGTCAAAATCGGCACTTTGTGGTAAATAGGGTTCATGTGGAGCCATCAGAGGGAGAGCTGGGAATCAGAACACCAACTATGGGAATGCCTCTCTTGTGTTAACAGGACACTGTTCAGATCATTCTAACAAAACTGTTTTACTAAGCATGTAAACACTCAGCCAGTTCTTCATTCTCACTGATGCCAATTTTGAGAATGTCTGAGTGAGAACCTACAACTATGAATCAGGTCCTGCCTGCAGGGGCCACTCCCGGTGCAAGGCGCCCGCTTTACTTTTGGATTTTAAGTAGTGTTACAGATTTGAGAGACGTGGTTAAATTCTGCTCCACAGGAAACTGCCGGTTTGAAGGAACACAAGAAGTGAGGTACTGGCGCCACTCGGGCCCTCTGGAGCCGGGGCCAGGGGTAGTGCACCGGGACCGGTACCCTGGGGCCCACGTGGGAGACAAAGGCAGTGTGGGGCCACTTTGCGGGAGGAGGAGAACGAGCACGAAGCAGAGGGGTGTCCCTTACGTGCTGGGAGCATGGCTTTCCTCCGGGGGGGAATGCCACCGGGAAATGCAGGGCACGGTGAGGCGGCACCAGTTTCTTCTTCTTCAAGACCGTGTTCAGCCAGTGCGCAGTGACACATCTCTTCCTCTCCCTGATCGCCTACCAAACACAAAATCACAGGTTTTGCTGTGCCGGGGTGTTTGCAGCTGCAGGATTAAATACCCAGTTGTCAGGCTGTATAACTACAGTGACACCTTTACAGAAGCCCCATGGGGATCACGTGATACAGAGCACCCGATTTACCTAAGTGACAACACAAGAGCAGGCTGACTTCCACACAACTAGGAATGTGGCCACCTACACACCAATAGCCTGTGACAGGGACCAAAGCAACATTTTACAATGGCCTCCAAAATAACTTCAATTGTGGCATGAGAAGTCTATGATCACCAAATTAACATTTCCCTTCAGAACACAGAAGCCCCAATGAGAACAAGTTCAGAAAAAATATATTTACCCACTTAAAATTAACCACAGAGAGAAAAAATAAAACCGTCACGAGCATGGCCACATTTTTAGTTAGAAAGGGGATCCAGTATATGGTTACTGTGTTTAAGAGGAGTTTGTGGGAGGCCATTCACCACACACCTACTGACCGCGGTCTATGCACCAATAACCACATTGTCAGGAAAGGAGAAGAGATGGCACTTCAGGGGACGGACAAGGGGACCGTGCCCCAGGGGGCGTTACAGACGTTCAGTCCAGCCCTGCGTACATAGCCCCACAATAGTGGGAAATCCTGCAACCACCCCCCATTCAGTCAGTGCAGCTTTGAAGCGAGCCAAAGGCCTGTGTCCTTTCCTTAACACTACCAGGGGTGTCCTGCACTTTCTCCATCCACAAACATATCCGTCCCACCAAAGACTGATAAAAATTACTAAGAAGGCACTTCCCTACTTTTAGAGGTAGAAAAAAGTTCCTCTCCAGACACCAGTCTCTAGAATCCTTAGACAGTCTGTAAAAAGGGACATTGCTGCAGTAGCAGCTGAGGCCACACTACGCACCTGTGCATACATACTGCTGACCTGACTCTCACACAGAAGGTGTGTACACCGGCTTGAGAATGTAGGGTCCACAGCGCCGCCATGCATCTGGATTATCTGGACACACACAAGACCCAAAGTCGTAATCAACTTCATGGACTCAGGAGAACAGAGCAGAATTATTATTTCAGATTAGACTGCTATCAAACAAGTCCACTGTTTATTTTTTACAGTGTATTTCACCAAAGTGTAATATGTGTATATGTTGGTTGTATTTACCAGGTTTTCTACCCAGCACCATGAAATAAAAATGAACTCCAGCACTCATTTAATCTGAATTTCCAGAAGGAAAGAGAAGAGAAACACAATGTTCTCTTTCTGAAACTGGGTTTTCTCCACCTGGCACTGCTGATGTCTTAGACCACCTGAAGCTGTGCTGTGAACTGGCCGCGCTGCTGACTGTACCCATTAGACACCAGCAACACCCACCCCCCAACATGTGACAACTAGAACCATCCTCACACATGGCCAAACATGCCCTGGCAGGCAGAGCAACCCTGGTTAAGGGCCGTTATTAAAAGGAAAGAAGAAAAAGCAGTATGAAGTTAGTGACTACTGAGAAGTGGCATTTCATGGTGATCATGAGCTGGGGGAGGGCCTACCCCAGGTCTGACCATGGGCATTACGTGCAGGCCAGCGCTGCTGAGAGTCCAAACAACTATGCACCGCAAGAGAGAGACCTGCATTATGATAAAATTTCTGCCCACAAAACCATCCTGCTTCATTTACTTTTTAAATTCAGTTATTATAGCAGTTCGTCTACAGTTTCATAAGGCGTGACAGAAACACCCACTTCCCATTCCACTGGTTCTCGCTCCCCAGCAGAAGCCACACCGCGCTCCTGCCATGTCTTCTGGAAAATCACTAATGTAGCCTACCTGCTCCGCATCTCCTGACCTCCTACCGCCTGGAACACTCCTGCCCCCAGCCTTCCTCATTTGGCCACATCACCATTCTTGTTGGAGTGAGTCTCTGGGATTTAATTCCCCGAAGCTCGGCCACCGGGTCGACCACTGTACGCGCCCCTCCCCAAGGCTAGTCCTTGGCCAAACTCCCTCCCTCCCGCCTCTTCTTCCCTTCCTGAGTATCTCTAGGTCACTCTCAAACTGTACAAAGAAGGACATCGTGGTGGTTAAAACACTGCCCACAAATCCCCAGGTGCACCTCCCTTCAGAGCTGAGCCCGGGCCCCTCGCCTGGGAACCTGCTGGCCCAACAGACTATGATGGAGTGACTACGTGCGGCTTCTAAAGACAGTCATGAGACACACGGTGGCTTCCTCCTTGCTCTGCCTTAGGTCCCGCACCCTGGGAGAACCCAGGGCTACCCCAGGCCTAGGGAGGGGCCTGTGCAGTGAGGCCTAGAGGCCCCCTCCACCCGCTGACAGCACCTCAGCAGAGAGCCTGAACCCAGCCACCCTGTGGCACCACCGGCCATGTCTCCCACCCATGAGGGAACAGCAAGGTGACAGGTGTTGCTGCTCCAAATCACTAAGGTGCAGCAGACGGTATGTCACCGATCGGTATGTCACCGATCAAGCACACCGAGAGGCCTGGCAGCACCGTCTCTACCTTGTGCTGCCCCTGGAGACCACTCTTCCTGCTCCAGCTGAGGCTGGCTCCTCCCCACACTCACTTTCATATCTGTTTGGCACCTCCCTCCACTCTTGGCCTAACACTTCCCTTCCTGTCTTTGCGCAGAGGGAGGGCTGATGGTGGAAGTCCGAGGACACCGCCCTTTCCAGCGCCATGCGTCACACAGACTGGACATGCCATTTTCGGCCAGCGTCACTTTCTTAAGAACTCTGAAGACACCACTTGATTACTTCCAGCTGCCCATGCGGCACCTGACTCATGACACCCTCCTGGCCCCAAGCTCTGAGGCCCCTGGCCCGAGACTGGCCCTCGTGCTGCGTTCAGCCAAAGGATGATATTCTGTCTTACAGCTCTCCTTGTACCGGCCATCCTGCCTCCTCATACCCTGGACAGACGGCTATTTCTCCAACTGATACACAGTTTTCTCAATCTTGTACATTCATCAACGTCCCGTGTCTTACCGAATGCTTGGCACAGAGCAGGGTTTGAACAACAGGAACACTCAGAGGGAAGCACATTCAAAGTATGCTGGAAACATACTTAAACTCATTTTCTTTTAAATTTGAGTCTGTTTTGATTTGTGACACTGAAGAGCAAAGTATTTTTTTCTCCTTTTCTTTAAAGGCCACCATACAAAATAAGCAATACAGGGACTACAGTTCACAACTAGAGACCTTCCCAGCTGGAGTCTCTAAGATTTTCCAGCACTTGCCTTTAGAGACAGAAATGATGAAGGCACATGGAAGCTGACGGTTCCTATTCCAGGGCACCAAAATCCTGGTCTTACTCTTACATCCCCAGTTACATACAGATAGCTTGTACCCCTTTGAATCTGAACTGAAAAAATCTGAAGAATGATAAAGTCCAACATTTCCCCTTACAGCTAAACCAATAATGAAGCTCAAAAAAGTGGTTTGCCTAAGGTCACAGAGAATATGAATAAGAATGCCCATAATACGGACGTCTGGGTGGCTCAGCGGTTGAAAGTCTGCCCTGGGTTCAGGGCATGATCCCGGGGTCCTGGGATCAAGTCCCACATCGGGCTCCCCACAGGGATCGTCTGCCTCTCCCTCTGCCTGTGTCTCTGCCTCTCTCTGTGTGTCTCTCATGAATAAATAAAATCTTAAAAAACTGAATGCCCATAATACATTCAAAACACAGATGTGCATGTGTCAGGGCAGCCAAGTGAATGAAGTTCAAGTTATATTCGGAGAGGAGAGTCTTCAGGACAAAGTTTACTTCTTTAAGCACGACTCACCCTTTTCCAGGTGGCCAGCAGCTGCTTATCAGACATCTGCTCTGGATAATCCGCAATCGCAAACACACATCCCAGTAAGAAGCCTTCTTCTGGAACTGGCACAAATTATACAAGAAAAGTAAAACCCCATGAATATGTGGACGTGCACAAAAACTAAAGTGTTCATTCTGCCGAGTTTAATCTGAATCTATGAAGTGAATCACTCTTGACCAGGACACATCCACCAGCAGCCTGAGTACTACACTGGAAAGACTGCTAGGAATACATTAGCTGGACTGTCTATATTCACAACTAAAAATGAAACCAACAGAGTTAATGTCTGTGTCAGCCCTCGGGACAACTCTCCTCCTGGAGGACACTGACCTGTACTTCGAGGGGGATGCCGTCCCCAGCTGCAGAGACCATACACCTCCTCCACTGTTATAACCAAGTCCTTCATTGGGTGCAAGATTCTGATGTGAATCCTCACCCCATGCTCAAACCCGCTCTCTCAGCATTTAAAGAAGTACGAGACTTTCAGGAAAGGCAGATAAATTCCACACAACTCACTTTCTACTGCTGGGTCGTGTCCGAAGAGCTGGAGCTGTGGTTGCTGTGGGGGCTGTAGGGGTTGCTGGGGCTGGTGCTGCTGCGGAGGCTGCTGAAGGGGCTGCTGCAGAGGCTGGTGCTGGGGCTGTGGGGGCTGTGCCTGGTGTGGCAGGGGCTGGGGTGTCTGGCTCTGCACGTGCTGCTGCTGCTGCTGCTGCAGACGCTGAAGCTGTTGTTGCTGCAGTAGGCTGTGCTGCTGGAGCTGTGCCAGCTGCTGCTGCTGGAGCTGGTGCTGCTGGAGCTGGTGCAGCTGCTGCTGCAGGGCATGCTGCTGCTGTGGTTGCAGGGGCTGCAGGGGCTGCTGGGGCCGGTGCAGGGGCTGTTGGGGGAAGGGCAGCGGCTGTGGGGGGAAGGGGTGTGGCTGCTGCTGAGGGTAAGGCTGCTGGGAGATCTGTGGCTGCGGTTGGAGCTGCAGGAGCTGCTGGGTGGGAAGGTGCAGCACTGGATGCGGTGGCGGTGGGGGCGGTGGTGGCTGTGGTGGCTGCTGTGGCAGGTGTGGCTCCGGAGCCACCTTCACCTGGCTGAACAGCACTGCGTTGGCATTCGCGTGGCCCTGCTGGCTGTGATTCACCTGCTGCTCTAAGTTTTTTGTAGGTGCAGAAAGGGACTGTAAGATCTAAAAAACAAAAATTAGGCAAAATCATCAGCAATCATTACTGAAATGTACTAACGTTCCCTTAATTGAGAGAATATGAGCATCTCCCACATTCCCTTAATGTTTAAAGAAATAGGAAGCACCAAACTACAAGCTTCAAAAACAATACAGCATTTTATATTTACGAAAGCATCACCAACTTCAATAACGTGAATTCCTATTTTGAGACCACCAAAACTTGAAAAAGAAGTAAAATAGAATAAGCTCATGACTTAGTACAAACATCACATGGCTGATGTGTTTTCTAGAGCACAGTGACAGGGCTGCCCCAAAAAAGGGGAGAAAAAACAAAGGCATCCTACTTACTCCGGGGGCCTTGAGTGGGAGTCCGGGCACCGCCGTGCAACGTGAAGTGCACAGGGCCTCACCAGGACCCTTTCCCCATCTGCAACATTCCACAGACTTCTCCTAACACAAGGATGCTCTGGGGAATGGCAAGCAGGAGCCTGACCTCGGCTCCTTCCCAACAATGAAAGCTACCCAATGAGAGGCAACAAGAATTCTTGACTACTACCCAAGTGAAAGCACCCGACACGGACAGCACGTAACCCCACCAGAGCAGCCGGCCCCTCCTCATCTGTGGTCAGCAAGCCCTGGGCACTGGCATGCTCTGTCAACAGGGGACAGAAAAGACACCAACAGCAGGTTTGCTTAAATGGTAAACGTTCCTCCAACTGGAAAATCATCCGTGTAGCTGGCATATCAGCCTTCCTCAAAAAGGACGTGGGGCTCTTTAGGTGGCAAAAGTGTTTCAAGCTAGAGAGAAACCCAGCTAGCAGACTGTTTCCCTTCTACCTCATTCTGCTTCACAAGGACAAGAGTACTCCAAGAACTCTGTACAAGCTGAGGGGTGGGAGGGAGTCAGGAGATGCCAGAGCCCCAGATGGTAGGTTATTTTCTTATCCTGCATGGTGCTGAATAAAACAACGAGGAATTTCTACAAGGAATTTCTTCCCAATATGCTCAGAGCAAAAAGGAGAAACCATTTTCTCATGATTGAGAGAACTGTAACAATCAAATAGATTTTACTAAAACTCAATAAATATATCTTAATCCTATTAAAGGCACACTTGGCCATTTACAAAAACTCTAGAAATTCAATTTTAATATAAGGCACAGCTATAAGAAGATCTCAAACATGATCTTAAAATATCTCTTCCATCCAAGTAGACTCCAAAATGGAAAGGTTTTATAATTTGCAAAGGTAACACAGACTCCAGATTTAGTGATGAAACAATGGGGCCTGAAACTGAAGTGGGTCAAACACCAGCACTCAGTACAGCTTGTCCGTGCAAACACCTCATAGGTAGGACCTCTTTATCTCTGTAAGTTTTCCTCATTCTTCAAAAACTCCTCAGTGGAGCTCTAAACAGAAAAGAAACTTTTTAAACAAATTTGTAAATAATAGGGCAACAATTTCTTCTCTATGCTTACAAGCATTTAAAAAATACCCTATAAAGAGGAGGTAGATTGGGATCCCTGGGTGGCGCAGCGGTTTGGCGCCTGCCTTTGGCCCAGGGCGCGATCCTGGAGACCCGGGATCGAATCCCACATCGGGCTCCCGGTGCATGGAGCCTGCTTCTCCCTCTGCCTGTGTCTCTGCCTCTCTCTCTCTCTCTGTGACTATCATAAATAAAAATTAAAAAAGAAATTTAAAAAAAAAAAAAAAAAAAAAAAAGAGGAGGTAGATTGACCTCAGCACGCACCACACCCAGATGGCAGGACACCAATCAAAGCCTCACACCTCCACACAATCACACGTGGGGCAGGGTGGCGAGCACCTGCTTGTATTTCTGTGGATCAAGCATGAGCCTGTACGCACAGTGCAGGTCAGTAACAGGGGCTGCTTCTGGAGTGGAAACAGGAGTTAGGGGTGGGAGGGACTCTATCACTTTACAGTAGGGACCATTTGGATTTTTAAAATTTCATACATATTTTTACTCTCAGAAAAAACCACCCATGTCCTGTCTGCCACAATGAACAGGGTGGAACCTGTTCCTGTGCAGGCTCTTGCCCCTGCACCCCCACACCCAGATCAAAGGGTGGGCTCTGGTAGGTCTGAGGGACCCTCATGTATGCTCCACAGCCTGGAGCCCGAGGCTGGTCCTCTCAGCTCCCATCTCAGAATGGCCAGGACGACTCTGCAGGGGGCCCGGAGGGCCGGGGCACCTTCTGTGTGGTGATCACAACCTGAGAAGCTGGGGAAAGCCAGGCTGTGAGCACAGGGCAACTGGGAGCAGATGGAGGTCAGGACAAGAGCACTGGCCTGAGTGAGATGGATAATGGCCTGGAAAGTCGGGCACCTGGCGGGCCACCCAGTGAAGTAACTCTCAGGACACCACCTGGACTCATCAGCCGGCTTTTCAACTCTCTGATCTGTGGCTGAACACGTTAGTCCCGAGGAATCAAAGAAAGAAGATTCTTAGCTGCTTGATCACATAATTTGCCATTAAGTTTGAATTTTTCCTTTATATAATACTATGATAATCTTTAAATTACTTATATATTGAGTGGCCCAATACATAAAGAATTACAATACAAACATGGCTCCAAACCACTAAAAATCTGCAATTTAAACAGATTGATGGTTAGCTATGTTCTTCTCCCAACCCCTGATCTAATTTTAAACTAAATCTGTCTTCTATTTGTAACATTTCAAAAATTCATTTTCTTCACATCTGGCAGCAAAACGTCCCATGTTCTTACACTGTGGAAAAACTCTCCAAAAATCTCTTCACAGCTGCTCCCCCTAGTGCTGGGCCCAGCCGTCGTAGGGGGGTTGGGGGGTGGGGGCTTCCTGCCTCGCAGCACCCTGCAGGCAGCACCTGGGGTGGGGGCGTCAAGCCTTTCCTGCAGGTTGCGTCCCTCTCCCTGGTGTGGTCATGTCTTTCCACCTCTCGCAACATTATTCCATATCCAAATGGGAATTTAGGAAGCGTGAGATTCAAGTTGACATCACAGAGTATGGTGGCAAAGGCCAGCAGGGATCCCAGAACTGTCCACAGAGCCCGCGGATGAAGAGCAGGGAGCACGTCTGTCCATCCAATCTGAACGCTCGTTCCTGATCCCTCAACTCCAGGAGGCATGAGGGCTCCCAAGGCTCCCCATGGGCTCAGCACTCTGGCCCACTGAAGTCTCAAGCCTGCCGGGAGGCAGGTCCCCATGGGCACACTTCACCTGTCTGCCTGCACAGGACAGGTGTGCCTGCATAGCCCAGAGTCTCCCCCTGTGACCCCCATCACTCCCTGGTTTCTGACAGGCTGCCCCCCGGCTACCTTCTCCCGATCGCCTCAAGCCCCTGGCTTTCCAGTGCTTTCTGCCTATCACCTCCACCCGACAGCCCCCTAGTACAGGGATGCAGCTCACGGCTCTACCACCCCTCTGCCACGTCAGGGGTGCTGCCGCCCATAGGCGCCCACCACACTCTCTCCGCCTCCTGTCTCCTCCTCTCACCTCCGGGGACCCCATGTGAGCATGGGCACCACCTGGCCCTGACACACTCTGACCACCTCATTTCAGGGACCTTCTCTTCACCCCGAGCCCCTCACTCCGTCACCTGCCAGTGTCCTCCACATCAACTCAATGACCTCCCAGGCCCAGCAAGTCAAGAGCAAATGATGGCACAGGGGTCGTAAGTATATGAGGAGCGAGCCCGTCGAAGGCACCTCACTACAAAAGAATTTGCTGCTCGGCCACCAAGCACTTCACCATTCAGACTACAAAATACTGGCCGGCTCCTCCACTTCGCGAGAAATGCCAGAAATCCCATTTTTATAGAGAATCTCATGATTTTGGTAAATAAATTCAAAAAATTGTTTGGACCAAACTAAAGGTGTCAGGAAGAGGGTGGCGTCAGTTGTGGTGTGCAACCCTGCTCTCCCTCAACCTTTATCTCCAAAGCCAGCACACCTCCAAAACTGCTAATCCAACTACGTCAGGCTCCGGCCACCTCTGCCTTCCTTCTGTCTGTTCATCATCTTTCCCACCCCTCCACCACCTGCCGACCTGGTCAGTTCCACCTTCCTCTTCACAACTTTCCAGGTTATGGTCGCAAACCTAAACCAGGTCCTAACCAGATCCAACAATTCGGTCTTCCCAGGATCTGTGTATCAACTATTCCAGAATCTCCCATTCTCTCCATATCCAATTCCCACTCTCTTCTCTGACACCATACACACATTACCTCATCCCATCTTATTTTTCATCCTTCGGATATCTGAGGAATGGATATTTTTCACCTTTCTTTTCTTGGACCTTATTCTGAACGACACAACCTTCCAGTGTCTCAAGAACCACGTACTAGCAGTTACTCACTGCTAAGTCGAGGGAGGAAGGAGAGGAAGAAAACAGTATTTTTAAAATGCCATCTGTAATCAAGAAAGACTTTCTAAAACCACTATCACAGTCATACTTAACAGTGACAATGTCACCTGCGTTAAGAAAGACATACTTAGTCACCCTTCCTAGAGCCCCAGAGACACACTCAGAAGGTGACCACTTTCCCTAAGGGAGAATGGTATGGGCCCCCGGGGACAGATCCCTACAAATGCCTCCAGCTCTCCCCGCTACCTCAAGTCTCATTATTCTTTCTTTCCCTACAACACAGGAAATCCATGCCTGCTTCTAGGTCCTCACTGCCGCTGCCCCTTTTGTCTGGAACTCTCTCTCCCAGTCCTCCCCATGGGCCTTGTCATTCACACCCCCTCCTTCGTGAGGCCCTCCCTGATCACCTCTCCTAAATAGCCTCCTTCCTCCAACGGCTATTATATGACCCCTTAAGGACTGTCTTCAAAACACCCAGACCAGAAGCCCTTTTGTTCATATCTGTCTTGTCTTCCCCACCTGAAACGAGGGCGGAAGACTTGTCTCTCTTCTTTGCCACCTTGTCCCACAACCCACACAAATGGACACCAGGCCAATGTACCTTGACTACTTCCTTGTAGTCTTAAATTGAAAGACATTTACTAAAACTTTTAGTCCATTCTGCATCAACAAGCTCCAGTCATAAAACTATCAGTTCAGATTCAGGCTTCTGTAATGAATAATTCATGTTTCATTATTCATCTACCATCAAGTTCATAATAAAGCAAGAAAGGAACACCTGGTCAACTTCACACCTCTCTGTGGCCACTGCTCATTTTAGGCTAAGTAAGAGTGGAAACCCTTCCTCCAGGGCGAGCACCCCTATCACTGGTACCCTGCTGGAATTTCAGAGACCATGAACTATATGCACGCACGCACGCGCACACACACACACACACACACAACTGTAAAACAAGTTCCCACACAAACACTGCTTGTAAGTTAAGTGTTCTGAAGAAGCAGAAAATACCAAACCATGTTGAAACAGACTGTAAAATCCAACTCCAACATCTGTTACTTAAATTTCTGTTCTTTAAAGAGTGACTTACATGTGCTACATTTGACGGTCGGCTAATCTGCTGAATATCAGCATTATTAGTAATGTTTCTCAACGTCCGCACAGCAGGACTCCAAGCAGCGATCATTTCTGATCTTTCAGAACTTTGGAGGTTTTGTCCCGAAGCCATGAGGTTACCCCGGACCTCGGGAGGTAAGATGTTGCCTGGGACTGGCGGCACGTTGGCACATAAGTTAATTAACCCAGGCTCCTTTCCCGGGGGCAGTCTGCGTTTTGCTGAGGCCAACTGTGGGACTTCGGCAGGGGTCCAGTTTAAGTTCCTCTCTTGTTTCTCAGGTGATGAATCTGAAGAATCATCAAACATCAACTCCCCTTTAGATTTTTCAGTGTTTGATTTGGGTGAAAACTGCTGGTCCCCTGAAGGAGAGCCTTCTTGAGAACTGGCAGGGCTGGATTTTCCATCTGTACTACCCTCATTTTGGGAATCCTGTTCCTCATTCTCTACCTCCTCCTCCTCTTCTTCTTCCTCCTCTTCCTCTTCATAAATAATCAGTCGAGGATGATAAAATGCTTCATCCTTTTTGGTTTTCTCAGATATGCAATCCAGGACCCAGTCAGGGGTAACAATTTTGATACTTGCTCTCTTTAACGCGCATTCGTATTTCTCCTACAAGTAAAGCATAAACACACACAAAGTTGTAAGTTTTATCAAAGTCCCTGAAAGTGTGTATTTAAAAACAGAACTTTAGGACAGGCATGCAGCTGAAATGTTTAGCACCTGTGACTGTCATTTCATACGCAGAAAAGCTTAAACTCCTTTCAGATGCAGGACTAGAGCCAAAACGAATCATGGATCTATGATCTCAGGAAGGCCTCATGCCTGCAATAGTAGTTGTAAAAGATTTTGTTTAAAATTAACTTTTACGAATGGTATTTTAGCAAAAAGTAAAACTACCAATCCCATGGGAACTGTCACCTAATCTAGTTTTTATTTATTGACAACCTGTACAAAGCTGGAACTGCGGCGCAGAGTTCCTCCAGGATATCAAACACAGTCAGGAAGGCTTTCCTAAGGAGGCGTCTAGACTACTGAGCTCACTTCACAAGGACATCTCAGACCTAATGAGGTTTACGATTTAGCTTCGGAGAGAGAGAAAACGCTAAGGAGACTGCGATGCGAAGCCACCACTGAGTGATGTGCAATAAGCCTAGCCCTGGGAGCTGTACCACGCACTGCAAGATAAGGCCTGGCGGGGCGTCAGTGAGCAAAATGTAGTGAAACACACACCAGTGAGCACACAGAAAAGGTGTGCTCACGGGCAGGGGTGGTCCTGCAGGTAAGGGTGTAGACAGAACGATAATAATGGAGATAATAATGGAAATATGAAGCAAAGGTAATACACAACAGTAGCTCTAAAATAAATGTAACTGTGGTTCACTTAACTAAGAATCTCACACCCCTGCTTCTAGAGCCTAGGTTGCCTGCAGTTCTCTAGCAAACACGTAGTCCAGACCCTGCGCTATAATCCGTTTCCTGTGGAGGGGGCCCAAGGTGCCACTGCTGTTTATGGTTGGCTGCACATGGGTGAAGGAGTGACAGTCTGCAGGGCTGCACCAGAAGGGCCAACACCGGAGGAGCTGAACAGAGGATCACTCTCAGTGTGGCATGGGCAATGGCAGCACTGTGGAGTCAGGACCCACCTCCTGGAAGGAGTGAGACCCACCCATGTCTAAGGGATTTCACTTTCTGTTACTTTTGAGAATATTCTACTTTAAACCTTTTTAAAACATTAGTAAAACTTGGTCATGGGAAAGTACACGTAATTAACAAGTAAAGCAAAAAGAAAAACGGACATAAAATCATGACCACGTGATGAGAGGTCACCACAATCAACATTTTTAGTGTCCAGTTTTAATTATTTTTGTTATGAGCAGACATGTACATGTACATACATATATATTAAGAGAGGCACCATGTTGTCACAGTGTAAAAATACTTTATAATGCATTTTTACTGACTGTATTACAACAACCTCCCGTGTCAATACGTATACTTGTACACAGGCACTTTTAACTTTTCTTTTTAATTTATTTATTTATGATAGTCACACACAGAGAGAGAGAGAGAGGCAGAGACACAGGCAGAGGGAGAAGCAGGCTCCATGCACCAGGAGCCCGATTTGGGACTCGATCCCGGGTCTCCAGGATCGCACCCTGAGCCAAAGGCAGGCGCCAAACCGCTGCGCCACCCAGGGATCCCCACTTTTAACTTTTTAATGTACGTTTCCAAACAAAGCCAAAAGTGGGGACAGGTATGAGATACATCCCCAGCTCCAATAACTGGCGACTTCTGCAATCCTGCCTCCCCTGGCTCCTCTGCAATGCTGTTCATGCATCTCTAATGATAAACCTCCACCACTACGGCATCCACACTGGCTGTCAAGCCATCCCACACCCAGGGCTTACCCACTTGAACCCAAGTGCACCACTCTGCTGCATAGCTGTACAATCAGGCAATCCTCTGGTATCATGGATTACTGCTTAGTTATGTGTGGTGCCATTTATTCTAGTTGTTTCTAATGTTTATTTAGTGTTTTGCTACTCTGAGGAACTGAAGTTAAATGTCAACACATATATCCTAAATTGTTGTAGAAGAATTCCTAGGTTCCAGTATGAAAGTATGGAAAGCACTTTAAGGCTTCATTATCTGTAACTACGTCCCCCTTCCAAGGCTATGCCACCAACTCTGTAGGACTGTGTTGATTCACCCACACCCCACTGCTTACCTACTTGAAACTACATTGTGTATAAACCATGATTTAAATAACGTATTTTCTTATTAAGATACAAGTGTTTTTAAACTTAAATGTAAAAGCATGTGGGAACCCTTAAATGCTTAACTCAATATAACTACTTATCAACCAGTAACATCTTTCATTAAGATATAAGCGTCTATAAACTTACGTGCAGAAACACATGAAGATGGCCGCACGCTTAACGCACTGACACTAAGCCACGCACCGGGTGAGGTGTGCAAGAGCTGAATTTCTGTGCACCCGAAACTAGCACAGCACTGTATGTTAACTAACGGGAATTAAAATAAAAATTTTTTATTTAAAAATTTTTTTATTTTAAAAAATTTTTATTCCTTATTCTAAAAATCATTCTGAAATATTTAAGTATTAAATGTTAAATCAATCCTCCCACAGTAAACATAGATAAGTTTTTATAGCCGACTAGACACTTTTAATTTCTTGACTACCTGTTTTAAAAGAGCCACAGAGTTGTCTTAGGAAAACATCAAGTCCAGATATATACCAAAATATTTATAAACTACATAAATAATGCAAAAATTCAAGATGATCCAATAACCTACATATAAAATAAGGTTTGGATATTATTTTCCAAGGTAAAAAGATGTTTGTTGAGATAAAATATGAAATATTTTAATTCTGTTAATAGCAAAAATAAAACTACTGCCATGAATAGCAGTCGCAGAGCATTTTACACATCAAAGGGAAAATGCCACACTTAGTGCGGGAGCCACCGCGGCAGCCCTGGGCTGTTGCCTGCACAGGGTGCTGGCACCGCACACACCACGAATGACCTGCAGCAAAGCAACGCTGAATTGAATGCCTTTGCTGGGGCTAATTTACCAGCTAAGTCATTCCAATTCTTGGATCCTCAAAATTACAAAGTATTAAATGTTGCGGACTCAGGCACCAGCAGCGAGGCCTGGCAGGGCAGCTGGTGTGGTTCTGTCACATGGGCACACTTCATACGCTGAAGCCTGCAGCGGCCACAAGTCAGCCCTTCCCAGTAACGACGAGCATCCTCTGTCCTGTTGATTTTGTTACTAAATCCCTCCATTCTTCTCCACTTAACTGAACATTTTTAAAAATTCAAGAGTATGAAAGGTAGTTTGCCATTCAAACATTTTCTTTGTTCATTAAAAAAAAAAAAAGGAAAAAAGTATTTGAAGAGATGCAATTGGCTTTTGTGTGCAATCAGCAGATCTGTCTGACAAACCCACCCCACTCATATACTGCTTCTTAAATTTATCATTTGGCTCCTCAGAAGTATTTGCTCACAGCTATAAAAGCTAGAAGGACTTTGTTTCCCTTCAAACTACCACTTGAAATCAAATTTTAGCCATAAATTTACAAGATACTAATATAAAATAGTATAACCAAAGCATATACTTCTCTTAAAATGTACAAATATAATTTTTTACTCAAATTTTAAGATTCAAATCTGAAATTTTCCCAGTAGACGTTTCTTCTTAGGATTGTGTGGCTTACTACGTTAACAACCACACACACCAGCTCAAAATCTGGTGTCAGGAAACCAGCCTAACCACACTTAGGGATGAGCTCTGCTCAGTCTCAAAGTCCGTGGGAAAGGGGTCTCCTGGGCGGGACAGGTTTGTACCAGTCCCAAGCTGCAAAAACGAGGCGGTGCCATGGCTGGGTACCACACACACCTCTCTCCCCACACAGCAGTGCATCCACATGGGAAACAGGATGACAGCGCTGACTTAGACTGAAGGCAGTAAGGGATCACGGAGGGGATGCATGGAAAATTAGCTCACCATAAATATCCTGCCCCTGACTCTCAAAGTTGTAAGTAACTGTTCTCGGGAGGAAGAGTTTGATTTCCAGAGAGCAGTGGTTCTCACACTCTCGTGCGCCCCCAGAATCACCAGGAGGGCCTGACACCGATAACTGGACTCCCCACACCCTCGCCGGGTCCTGATTTATGAGGTCTGGGGCAGGCATACAGTCTGCATTTCTAACAAATGCACAAGACAGGCTGATGCCGCTGACCTGGGGACCCCACCAATGCTCAGAGATAGGAACCCTGTAATTACCAAGATAAATGAGCTTTCTTATATCCTAAATTACTAAAATGGAAATGGTATTGAAAACTTCACCAAATACACACTGACAAAGTTATCCTCAGTACAAGGCCTTTTTTAAGACTGTGAAGGGGACTAAAAATACGTATTTTCCCAAATAAAAATGAAGTTTACTAGATTTGAAAGGAAACTCAAGGGATTCAAAAAACATTCCCATTTTCTCCATGAAATAAACCCCAATTTCTTTGTAGGTAGTGGTCACATCTGGCTTAGCATCGAAATGATAATCATCTGACATCCTCTGTGGAATGAAGCCGGGTGTAAAAAATACAAACTAACAGAACCAGCTTTTGTACATGGAATCTAATAATTAATTCAAAGGAAACTCAAAACAATATTTGATTACTGGAAATACTTAAATGACGTACAAGAAGGAAAACGTACGTGAAACGCTTACCCCCTTTGGTTCTGGAACAACCAGATGTGTGCATTTCTTGTTGAGATGCAGCTGGCAGTCGCCCCCGTAGAAAGTGAGCAAAGCCCACAGGGCGCTCCTGTCTGTGGACGACACCTGAGCGAGAATGACACACCAAGCTTCTGTCACACATTTCAGTCTACGCAAGTCTATTTAATATTAAAATACACTGTAATGTTTTAACAAACTCTGCTGTATCTACTTTTCTCTCTTATTAAATGAAATAAACCTAAGGGTATTAGTGGGAAAAATAGCAGATGAACTTTTAGCTATTTGCTTATCATGACAAAAACTTTCATTCCTATCATGATAGTTCTATAGACATCTTTTTTGCCTTGTCACCAAATGAATAGAAAACACATATCCACACTCCAAAAAATGAATGGAGGATTATTTCAACAAAAGCAATAGGGAAAAAAAAAAAAAAAAACAGAAGGAACTGGTGCACCATTCCATCCTTACAACTGTCATGTATTAAAATGTTTAAATACAACAGCAGTATCAAAATCATTATGGAATTCCTTACTCATTAACAGATAAATACTAATTATGAAATGGATAAAATAAAAAGACAAAAATAGTTATTTGTAAGCTCAGGGTAAAACATAAATATTACTTAACACATAAAAGGAAATAAGGCAAGCATAAAAGGAATAATTCTTATGCTTGCATAAGTGATGAAGTCGACTCCAGAGAGAATGGCTCATGTTGGAAAAGAGGCTTTCACTATAACAAAAATAGCTACCATTTATTGCCTGCCTACTATGTGCCAGGAACTGTGCCAAGTGCTTTGTATATACTCCTAATCCTTTTAACCGCCACTCGAAGTAGGAATCATTAGACCCATTATATAGATCAGGAAACAAACTTACAAAAATTACAGCTGATCATCAGAAAAGCTGGCTTTTAAAACCCAGGTCTGTCTAAACCCAGGCCTACTTGTGTTTTCCCACTGTTCTATCCTTCTCTAAGGGTAGTTACTACGAAAAATAATTTTTTTTAAAGATTTTATTTATTCATAGAGACAGAGAGAGGCAGAGACACAGGCAGAGGGAGAAGCAGGCTCCCTGCAGGGAGCCCCACGTGGGACTCGATCCTGGGTCTCCAGGATCACACCCCAGGCTGCAGGAGGCGCTAAACCACTGCGCCACAGGGGCTGCCCCCAAAAATAATTTCTAAAAAATAAAATTTTAGAGTCTAAGAGACAAAAGAAACAAGAAAAGGTGTGTTAATTAATTCTAAGATTATCATTTAACAAAGTCTGCTTTTTTCCTGGATAATTTATATAGATTGAGGGTTATAGTAACTGTTAAGAATTCTGAACTTTGTCTCAAATTAATTCTATAAAATATTATAAACAGTATTTTTTAGAACCTGCCATTATTCAGCTTGCCAGAACTTTTAACATTTTACATCTACTTTCATCCAGTGTACAAATGTTCCTAGAAATTATTTTGCATTCCACACTACTGTGACTGCTAACAAGAACACATTAATTTTATAACATCACCTTGAAAAATCACTATTTTATATCTCTTTAATTTAGTTAGTCACTGTCACATTTCAGAAGATTGGATCAGAAAATTGTTTTTACTAGAGGCTTTTCACAAAAACATTTATCTCCTGCAGCATTTGGAGAGGTGAAGTTTAATTACAGGATAATACAGACTACTCCAATGAATCGTTAGATCATCTCTATTAAAAACAAAATTAAAGAAACATAAGCTCGACATGCCTTCTCCGGAGAGCTGCAGCCGCAGGTCAGTTACATGCAGCCCCAGCTGTACTGACCACAGTGAGCCTAGTCCATGGCCCTCCCCAGCCTGCATCACAGGCCTGGGTCTCAACAGGCCTGGAGAAGTATATTGCTGTGGAAAGAACATTGGTTGGGAAAAAGGGAGACCTGGAACTGATACACGGTCTCCAAAACTAGTTCCTGTCAACTTGGGAGAATTTCCATGAATCAGATTCTTCATCGATGCACATCTGGGTTAAATGACTTCAAACATCCACGCCAGCTCATTTAATGAATCTGTATCAGAATGATAGTTAAGAATGCTCTTTCCACACCAAAATGTTAATAATAGTTATCTAGTGGTGATGGAATTATGGGGATATTTGTGTTTTCATTTTTATACTTTTCTGTATTTTCCAAATTTTCAAGAGTGTTAATTTTATAACTGGGGAAAAGTGCCTTCCTTTAAAAAAAAAAAAAAAAAAAAAGAAAAAGAAAAAGAAAAAAGAGCAATCTTCTCATCATGGCTAACAAAGCCTGGATGTGATCTCGATACCTTAAGACCAAAACCCAACTCCTTCAGTGGTGAGTCAGGCCATCCTGCCCGCGTGGCTGCCAACCACCTAGAGCTGTTCCCACACACCTGTCTCAAACCTCAGCCATGTTGGTGGGACACTCCTCAAACACACTATGCTCTGGCTCTGTGCCTTAACCACCCTCAACCCCCACCCCACTACCACTGCCCCTGGACTCCCACAGCAAGCTACACAAGCATCTACAGGCTGGGCACGCTCCAAAAACTGCATGCTTCCTCTGCCCACTATGCTACCCTCTTAAGAATGTGGAGCAGAGGATGGTCACCTCATCCACGGCCCCCAACTGAATAAATGCTCCCTTCATACCAATCAGGAACACCTTTCCTTCTTGGGAGGTCTCACACAAGTAGGACCCTCCTTGGTTCTAGGCCCCCTGAATTTGTCCTTGTCCCATCGTGATTAGAAACTATAATCATCCTGATTAAAGATGGGGGTCTCACTAAGAATCACAACTTAAACATCTTTGATAGTTCTCACAGTACCTAGTACAGTGCAAGGCACATGGGTAGGCAGTCAAGAAATATCTGTTGATTGAGATACAGAATGGAAAGGGCTTTTATTTTTAGTCCTCAAGATTTAAATTACGACCTTGGCCAGGCTCTCCATCAGACTCTCGACCTATCCCCCAAAACCTACCCAGCACATTACAACAGGGCCCCAGCCTGCATCAATACCGGGTCAGGAGAAGGCAGATGGTGTCTGTGCTTCTCAGCTTCTGCTGGCACAAGCTCCCTTCCCTACCTCTCCCTGGGAGAGCTCTGGAAGACTCCAACAAAGAGCTCCAGCTTGTATCAACACCCTGACGGGGAAAAGACAGAAGGTCACTGAGAGCCACCAAGCAAACAGTCCTTTTGTAAAGGTTGGGGGGTCCTGCCTGGGGTGCGCATGTGTGGGTGCAAGTGCTCCAGTGTTCAGAAGAAGGTGCAGACACCCAAAGAGTCTCTGCATGGTGCAGACAGACCACCTTGATGGCTCCGTCCTCGTACCATCTCCACACCTCGTACCCACTTTTACCTTTGTGTGTACTACAGCACACAGTGTGTTCACGTCTGTCTTCTCTTCTACAATGTACATTTACTGAGGGGAAGACCTCCTACACCTTAACTTATGTGCACCCCTCAGCACTGGGCCTGTCACAAAAGAAGTATTCATCAGGTGTCTGTTGCACCAAATCCCCTTAGCTGCATGATGTGCACCTTGTGTGTTAATTCATCTTAAAAACTAAATTAACATGTCTTAGCAACCACACAATATCAGTGTCCCCAGTGCACTTTTCTTAACCAGGCTCTCAGCATGTGAAACACTATCGAGCAAAATTTTGTCCATCTTTATCTGATCAATCATCATGAACTCAAAAGCACAGCTTTTTTATTATGTGATCCCATAACACGCTGAGGATTCCGATTCATCATCCTGAGTGATGAACAAGTGTACTAAGTGATCCATAAAGATCATATGGATTCTGGGTTCCAATTTTTATTATCTAATGAATTTGTTAAAAGGACATAAAAACACTATCAAAAGGTCCTTCTAAATTCACCTTCTGTCCAACACAGACCCAGCTACTGCCCACAATGAGTTTCACACCTAGATCATCTCTACAGGCTGGGCTGCTTCCCAGACCACACCGCCCAGGGAAGCCTGCTCTCTACCTGCTTCTTGCTGCCTTCCCTAGGCTCTCCATTCTCCTCCTCCCTGCCCCTCCACGGACTGCACCTGTTGTCTTCTCAGCCTGGAACCTGAGCTCCACATGGACCGCTAGGCTGGCATAACAGCCACCAGGGCAATCAGCCATGCTGTGTCCCTGTCCATCATCCCTGCCCTCCTCCTCTCCCGGGTCACAGGCAGGATCGAGGGGACCCATGAAGCTATGCACAACTACCTACTACAAATTCGTGCTCCACATCTTTACCTGAGGGGCTGCTCTTTCCCAGAACTAAAAACTAATTACATCTTATTTCATCCTTGCTTTCTAAAAATATTACCCTACTCCTCCCTCCGGTATCACCTCTATTTAGGCTTAAGTCTCTTTTCTTCCCAAATCTCCTTTCACAGCATGCTACCCCAGGTTCTCTTCTTGAGTATGCGCCTTTCCACCTTCCCCTACGTGCAGCTAATTCTCTGCCCTCATGCCACATCTCCATGGCCCCCTATCTGGACAGCTGATCCACACCTCACACTCAACGTGTTTCCAACCGACTTCCCTGAGAAACCTGGCTCCCACTTCCCATCCCCAGCAGTGATGCTAGCTGGCACTTCCCCCGGGCTCCTGGTCTGATGGAGGACATCACCTCAGTTTTATTTATTTATCACATAATAAAACAAAAACTGGAGGCAACTCCTGTAGGACTTGGCACAGAGGGGCACTGAGGGCACTGCCTTCTCCTTCGTCCCAAGTCACCAAGCCCTGCTGATTCCTGTCTGGGAACATCAGCAACACAGCAACATCCTGAGTCCAAACCTCTGCTTCAATTCCAGTACCACACCTATCCCTCCCACCAAAACTCCCATCCCCTCCCTGCACTTGTGTCCTGCTACTGCTCCCAGACGAGGTGCCCCTAAAGGACTGCAGGGATTTTAACTTTGTTTTTCTGTTTTCCAAATGTCCTAATGTAAATATGTGTAATACAAAATTAAATATTAAGAAAAAGGAAAGCATCCTTCTGGCTACTTTAGGGAGCTCAAACTCCAACATCTGTCTCAGTTCCCGAGCTCACCATCCATGCTCCTTTCTTTCCTCTGCACAGTGAGAAAACGCCTTTGTTCCCTGCGCCTTCCTCCTCTCCTTCCATGCAGCTCTGCCATGAATGCACCCCTCCTTCCCCACTTTTTCAGGCCCCTCACATCTGACATCACACACACACACAGGCTTTCCTGACTTTGCTGTCCACGCTCATGCCTGCTCTCGTGAACTCACACTGAGATCAGGCCCACAGGACTTAGCACATCACACAGTAGGTGTTGTGTGTACTATAACCTTTACATTATGAATCTAAAATCATGTTCCATTTATCATACCCTTTGTTAAACGTAATTATTGTTTTTCTCTAAGACTAAAAGTCTTCTCTAATGCTAAACTCATAGTTAGTATTTAATAATAGCTAATTATCAAATTTAAAACCCTGAAATCATCATATACTCACATATTTCTGATTTTCTTACTTATTTCACCAAGTCAGGTCTGCTACATATCATGTCACTGTGACCTTGCTCCCTGAAAACACCTCGGGACTCCCTGCCCTAGCCTCTCCCTCTCTCTTCTCACTCAACTTGAACCCTCTGGATAGGGAGCTCTGAATTTCTGAACCCGTCAATCCAAAAAACAAAAATGTAATTACACGCAAAATGCACATTTTAACCAAAGTACATTGCGTTTATGCATTAAGGAATAATAGTAATAAAATGTCTTCATTTTTAAAACTTTCCTGACATTTATTGTACATTTGGAACATACAGAGAAGTATAAGGGAACAATGAGACTCACATACAGCCACAGCACCCATCATTAAAAGCTTTTCATTTTAGCCAACTTCAAAGATCGTTATCATTATAAATACACATTTATTGCAGAGATGTGAAAAGGAATGAAAAATACTAATACCAACAAAATTTCTGTTCTTAAAAGAGAAAAAAAGCCAGGATTTCAAGGCTCCCTATTAAATGAATAAAGCAAAAACAGTAAGAGAGAATTTTATAATTTCAAAGAACTTCAAGAATTTGTAAGAGATACAAACAAAAACTTAGTCACCCTCCCTGAACGTGCTTACTGCGTGAACAGGGAAAGGGTCCAACTGAGACAGGGCGGCCACTGCTGAGTGAGCTCCAGGACCCATCAGCACAGAGCACAAGGCTGTGGCTTGCACCCTGACCTCTCACTTATCGGCCCTGAAGGCCCTTTCCTCAAGACTTCCACAGGATGGGCCACATGCTCCTGACCACGGTCCCCATGGGCACGGGTCCGAGAAGGCACATAGCAAGGAGCACTGTTGACCGCATCTATCCCCATCCTCATGCTAAACACATCGTCCTATGCGATTTCCAAATCTGCTGAATTTGTTACAATGGTTTCTACAGGCTGAGGGTTTCCTAGCTGACAGTGCAGGGGACACAATACAACTTAGAAATACTGAATATTCACCTTCCCACTACTTAGATACCCTACCGCTGACATTCTGGTCCCTCCCTTCAGACATGTCTCATGTATTTTACTGGCTTACTGTAATGCCACACACCTGTTACAGCCTGCTTTTCTCCCCCACTGAAAGCTTTTACCACCTCTTTCCATACTTTCATAAAGCAGCAATTCAAAACTGGCTACGCAGTTAGGCCATCGTACAAGGACATAGAACAGGTTTCTGAACCATTTCCAAACACAGGATGATCTGATTTTTCCCCCAATTTTTCCCTATTCTACATAATGCTCCACTGAACACCATTATCCATCAATCTGCCCTTATTTCTACCAATTTGGGATAAATTTCTAAATGTAAGAGAACTGGAAGAGAAAACAAAAGGAGTATTTTAGGGCTCCCGACACTGTTACTTCTGTAGAAAACAGCCGCACTATCTGCATGCCTGCCAGCAGGGAGGGGAGCTTGTCTGCAGGCGTACCAGCACCAAACACAGGGTCACAGATTCGAGAAGTGGAAATTCTCATCTCAGTGTAGTAAAATATTCATGTCTTAGATTATAAAGTGTGTCAAATGTTTTGGCACACTTGTAATTCCTCTGTAGTAAGTTGTAAGTTCATTTTTCTGCCTTATCTGAGATTTTATTTCTCTTATTGATCTAAATGAGCCCTTTATTTAAAAAAATCATTTACCTTTATGACTGAATTTTTCTTGTCATCTTAAAATAATTTCATTTTTACTATTTTTTGATATTCAAATTCCGTATCTTTGTAACTCTTTGGATTAGAAAGACCATTTTCACCCATTAAAATTTTAAATCTTAAGACTAGGCATGGATATTTAAATAATGATAAATGTGTTAAAAGGTCACACTGAATATGCAGTTTAGAAAAGAGCTTCTTTAAAACTGGTTCACCAACGGGTCATAAATCCAATCTCATAAAAACCAGGAACTGTTATGTGTGAATAACATGAGATGGGTTGTAACCATACTTACCTGGGAGAGACAGGCAGTGATTCCAAAAAAAATCTGACATGACTCTGGAGAAAAACCATTTACTCTGTTTGATAGTTATTAAGATTCCAATTAAATGAGATTAGTGCAAGCTGCATTTTGCTAAGACACAATCCACCCCCCCCTCCCTCCCACTGGATCCACACAGGAAAGAGACTTAGATTGACCAAGGTGACACAGGCAGAGCAGAGAAAGGAGCAGCAGGCAGCACAGAACAAATGGGTGGTTCTGTGAAGCGCATGCTCTGATCCAGCATCTCCATTCACATGGCCAATAAAGTGGGCACAGCACAATCACAGGGAAGCCATCGGACCTCTGAGCTAGCTCACTGTACACAAACACACACAGATAGATTTATACACAACATACGGCACAGCAATTATTTTAAAAGTCAATTAAAAGTATAGAGTTTATCTGAGAAAGAAACATTCGTGGGACTTCTGTTGTACAGTACAGAATCTCTCACAAAAAAACTTGAGTTCTAGTCTTATAACCACTGCTAACTTTAGGAACTTGAGCAAGACCAACTCTGAGCTTCAATTTTCCCTTTGTTAAAACAAGAGTCAGAAAATATAGTTATCAACCCTCCCAGCTCTGATTGTTAAAATTCATTCAGAAGAGCTGACTGGGTGCCCGCCACTGGGCATTCGGCTTTACACGGGGGGGGGGACACACACACAACCTCTAGGTGCCTGTACTCTACAAACCACTCAAAGTAAACACAATGACTGTTTTTAAAGAATTTCTACAATTCAAAGTGGGTTAAAGCATTACTTTGTTCTCCAAACAAGAGAAAAGTATCCCCCCTGAAATAAGAACTAGGAACAACAGACGAGACTGAAAACTCCACTGCGATCTAGAAGTCCTTTACATAGCCCTGCTGAGAAACCTCACAAAGACGGGAGCCTGCCCGACTACAATCTGCTCTGCAGGCCCCAACATCATACCTTCAGACCCATCACCCACCGTCTATCCATCCTCCTGCCTTTACCTTAAGGGTTTCCTATTTGCAAAGACCTGAGGAAACATCAACAAAGTCAAGTCTAGAGTGTTACCCCCAAGCCTCAGGCCCTCCTCCTTTTGTGTCCCTTCAAGCTGCTCTCCAACAGGCAAACAGAACTGTAGGGCAATGATGGCTTCTCAAGGAATCCTGTGCAGAGAATAAATGATCCAGAACAAGAAGAACTAAGCACTTATCTTCAACCCCCACCCCCTCCCCAGCTTTTTTCCTGTGCTTATAAAGACAACAACTCCCAAAAATCCACGCAAATGAAAACTAAAAACAGGAACTGGTTTCTTTTAACTCTTTAGATTATGAGCAATCTTAGAACGTTTGAGTTGCAGATGCTGAAGTTCTGCACATCCTCCAAGAACTGCTTACAAAGGGATGTTTTCTGTGTATTTGAGGCCACCTATAAATATTTCATATAAAAAGGTTCCCTCCAGCTGCATCAGTTCGATAAGTAAAAATGCACTCACAGGAACTGTCTGGCATAGCTACAAAACAAGAGGGTGAAGAACATCATCCCCTGTTGGAGTCTGCAATTTTAACATCACTGTATGTTAGCATGTGCCCTTACAGGAAGTGACTTCCACAAGCAGGTTACATGTGGAGTGACTCTCCAGTGAGGCTCCACACTGCCAGAGTGAAACAGAAGCCGTGACACTGTTCAGGACACTGAACAGCAGCTGACATCTCACACAAAGGCAGGAAGGCCTGTGCTCCAGAGCCACACTCAAGAAATGATGAAGTAAAGGACACAGGCATGGGAGGGAGCTCCTCGAGGGCAGCAACGAGGTCTTCTTGACCTCTCTTGTTTTAGTACCCAGGCCATAGCAGGTGTCAACATGTGTGTTAAATAAACCTTTTATCCAACGTAATCAAAAAGAATAATGATGCATGTAACAAAACTAACAATGTTCTGCCGTTCTCTTTCCCTATCTACTGTCCAAATAACTCAGGGTTTGGTTCAGGCAGACTTACAATTTTAGAAATATTCTACCTAACTGGACATCACAAAAGCTGTCTGTTCCAGAGACAAGAAAACTGAGGTCCAGAGAAGCAGACTGTCTGAGATCATAAAGCCCACTCCCAAGACTAGAGCTTGTGCCCCCAGCCCAGAGAAGCTCCCCCACAGCTGGTGCCCTTCCCTCCAGGGGAGATGACATAAAATCTGACAGAGAGTAGAAAACAGCAGGGACAGAGAATGCACACACACAAACTGCCCTAACTAATGAATCCACTTAGTCACCATGTGAGTCTTAACCCAGCATTGTCCTTCCCCTCTCCCCTTCCCCCAAAAAGGATACGGCAGCAGAGCTCCACACTGAACGGACAAGATCACCCAAGATGGCTGAAAAAGAAAATATGAACTCAAATCAAAAAATACTTTCAATTTATAATCAAATGACACTATTTCACCAACATTGCTCCTGGAAATTAAAAGCACCCAGATTATAAGTATTCAAGTAGTAACAATATCAAAGATTAGTTATCAATGGTCAAGGTGATTGGAATTCTGCTATAGAATGAAACACTACCAGATATATTTTAAATTACTACATACAGAAACTTAAATTTTAGGTGTACACACATTGCTGCTTCAGCATCTACACCAGCTAGAAACTGTCCTCACAGCTGGAAGGACAGGGACCTGAGAGCCATCTCCACTCCCTCCCCACCCCAGGTATATCAGCCGCTGTCTGGTTCCTTTCTTCAATCTTGAATCCAACCAAGTGGAAATTCACAGTTGTTTTTTAGTAAATCCCAATAGATATAACATTTGCAAACCATGAAGAGTATTTCTGTCTGGTAATTTTTTATGAACTCCAAAATTCGGATTAGTTATAAAACCTTAAGCTTCATTACCACCTTTTTAGGTAATTAACATCTTTGAAAAATTATCTTACATTTCTACATTTAATTTTCAAAGTTACATTCAACTATGTAATGCCCCATTTAGCAGCTGAAACTTCCAGAAACTTCCACCCACTTAAATGTACATATCTAGCTATTATTCATGCATCAATTTATTCATCAAATATTTATCGAAAATCTATTTTGTACCAGAGATGGTGCAAGGCACTGCAAATATAACAATGAAGAAGAAAAATGTAGCCTTTGCTCTCGTGCAACCAGTGCTCCAGCCTAATGATCTTCACACTAGCTTTGTCACATACACCTTAAAACAACTTTAGAAAACAAAATCCCCTCATCTTTTTTCAGCAATCATTTGACACCAACAATGTGTCAGCCTAAGTTTATAACAGTGGGTCTTCCATGAACAAGGTGTAGGACTACCTGATATTTTATAAAATAAAGATTGGCTCTCCTTGAGACATTATTTTCATGACAATGATTTGGTTATTTGGCAAGCATGCTAACCTACTGGATGAAGCGCCCCACGCTGAAAGAAAGAATTTAGTGTTACTTTCCATGCATTCTATCCAATGTGTCTTCACATTTTATTTTTTGATGATCCTGGATAACTTCAGTGAAACTGAAGGAGGCTGGCCAGCATCAGTCACCCAATATTGGCTTTGACTCTCATCATCATGGGGGCCAAGCTGTTATTCTGCACATTAACACCCAGGAACTCCCTGGCTGCAGGGCTGAGCACCAGGTGGGCTTTCCAGAAACCAGCATTTCTATTCATCCCTGAGTCTGAGTTTTCAGAGCCTCGGGCAATGCTCTGTGCTATGATTTGGGCAGGTTAAGGTGTGACTTTTCTCAAGAACACTGAGAGAGGTGCCTCTGAGTAGGAGTGTGACCACAGAAGGAAGCAGACACTCTGGAAAGGCATCCCTTCCAACTATCACGCAGCACACACCCTGGTAAGTGTCCCTCTGAGAACCTGAGGGAGGGAACAAGTATCCGTTTAAGCATTTAGGGCTAGTCATAATGCCCACTCACAGATCCACCCTCAGACCCTCATTCAGAAGACTCTACATAAAATAATGCTGAGTCAGGGGCACCTGGGTGTCTCAGTGGAGGAAGCATCTGCCTTCCAGTCAGGTCATTATCTCAGAGTCCTGGGATTGAGCCCCACATCTGGAATCCCTACTCAGTGGGGAGTCTAGTCTCTCTCCCTCTCCCCTCTGCTCCTGTTGTCTCACTCACTCATGCTCTCTCTCTCTCAAATAAAATCTTGAAAAAATAAAAAATAATGCCAAGTCTGTAAGACATACCAGTAACTGCAGATATGGAGAACCAGAAAAGCATAGTAACAAGGAGTGATTTATCCCAAAGGCAAATAACAGTATGTAAAAATAAGTCCACTGTAAGCTAACTATCATTTTCCAATGATGTCCTAAGGCCACTGAGAAAAATATTTCCATTTAAAAAAAGTGTAAGTTTTGGTGCCTAAAGATGCAAGTTTTAAACATCTATACAATTCAAATATGTAAATGATACACTGTCACTGTGCATAAAGATGATTTTTAAAATGCATTTGTCAGATTCAATAAGTTAAAGGCCAAGGAATCTGTGCTTATAGAACCAGGCCTCTGCCTCAATCAGCCAAATTCAGCCTAGGAACTCGAGGGTCTAGCAGCAGCAATCTTGGGGTACACACACACTGCTGGACAAGCTCTCACAACTCCATCATCCCGTCATGGGGCACTATAGTCCCTGGACAGGACAGGCGCTGTCACAAATAACAAGCAGCCTGGAGCTGTGAAGCAGATGAAAGATGAGTGTGCCTGGGGCCTTGTTTCAAGCTACTACAGGCAAAGGGGAACAGGAGGATGGGGGTATATTAAGCTAGATTGGCAAAATGATGATAATTATAGAAGCTGGGTAATAGGTATTTTATGCAGCCTTATTACAGCCTGACTTTTCCAGAAATACAACGTGTAAAATGAAGAAGACTGATTTTTTTTAGCTCAGAATTCTAGCAAGGACTGATCACCATTTTGAAATGTTATCTCCCAGCTGGCAACCCAGCCTATGAGCTCTGGGGACCAGTCCACATCCATGGCAGTCACTTCACATCTGACCAGTCCCGGCAGCTCACCTTTTTACCCCATCCTTGTGGATCTACACACTGAAATACATATTATTTATTTTATTTTCTTTTTCTCCTTTACGTTTCAGTTAGGGCAATTTATACGTAAATATAAATGCACATCCATGTGTACATATGTTCTAAACTATGTGTTCTGTTACACGCAAATAAAGAGAGAGTAAAGAGGGTATTACAAAGTGCTTGCTGCAAGAAGGGATTTGAGTGTCACCAGATTTAAGAACCACTGCTCTAAATGGTCTGGCAACAATGACTCTGGCCCCAACATTTGTCAGTAAGGCTGCCCTTTTAAGTTTTACTCTGCAACCTACACAATCTACATGAAGTCACTGTCCTGAGACAATGGGCTCCAGGCTGCTGAGGGAGTGCAGACACTGTCCCCATGGCTAAGGAGAATGGAAGCAAACCAGAGACAAAAGCAGGGTCCCAGGGAGGTAAGTGCACGAACCCACAGCCCAGTGCCTGTCATGAGTCTGTCTCTCTTACCAAGTGGGGTCAGGTGAAGGGAGCAGGCAACCTGCTGACATGTGGGCTTCACACAGGAGCTGGCCACAATGAAATAAGCCATCTAGTGCAGGATTGTGACCACTCTATTTCAGTGCTGCAAATTAATAGTTACTCTGACCGAAACAGCCGTCTCTGGAGAGTCTGGTTTCTGAGAACCTTCTCGTGAGACAGATCTGCTTTCAGGTTTATTTTCAAAAATCAGATTTCTAAGCCTGCAAGGCAGTTTCAGACCCTGGGTACCAATAAGGTACAGACTTCCCAGGGCCAGTCAGCTTCTTTGTATCCCAGCCAAACTTAATGGCAATCTTTCCTAACTCCTAGCCTCTCTTGTTATTAAACCACAATCACTTTCATACTGATTTTAAGGCAAAGTATTTGACAGCCTAAAAAAAAAGTGGTAATGGAACTGAACTATTTTAAAACAAATAAATAATACCTATGATTAGAAAAAAATTAAGGGACTAAAACTACAAAATTTAATTTCAAAACATGCATTTAACATTAAGCATTTAACTATGAGCAGCAAGAGAACAGCACAGTGTGCAGATCAACAAAATCTGACCATGTCACCTACCTGAGCTGAGGCCTCCACTTTCTAAAATAAACCACCCAGAGTCAACTAGATAGTGGTACCAATGATGGCCACTGGGTGGACAGTGTCCCAGTCATGGTGACCAATGTCAGAGAGCAGTTAAACAGCACAGCAAACCAGGACAGGACTCGCTCCAATGTGTCTAGGCGGAAATTAAGACCACTTGCTGTAGTAGGGATGGAAGTGGCCTGCTCGAGTCGTCACGTCCTGACAAGACTGCCCACTTGGGATCGAGCACACTGTCTTAGGAGTCCCCAGTGCCCAGCGCTGGAAGATGACACACCCATTTCCTGGACACATCCTTGGCGTAGAGAGCTGCAGGCAGAGATGAACCGGGGCCACGCCATAGCAGGTGCATGAGCTGAGCAGTTCAGAGTTACCTGCAACGTGCAGAAACCTTGCCACAGCATGATTTAATGCAAAGGGCCTTATGCTGCAGTCAGATACTGGTGTGTTCAAAGAGCTCTGATGGCCTGGCAGCTTCCCATACAAGACAGTACTTCAGCAAGACCCTGTATCGATTTCAAGGCACACGATGAAGTGTGTAAAATTAACAAGATTTACTACTGACCTTAACTACAGGTAAATCAAAGACTTCACGAGCTTCTCCAACCTCAGGGTTATCCCCGTCTTCTGAGATTATGTGTGAGGCTAGCGCATTGTAGGACACTTCCTTAGCTTTCCCAGCTTTGAGAAGCTGGATAACCTTCAAAAAACCACACAAATTAAAATGAAAAACATTGCATTTCATTCCTGATTTCCACAAATTGTTGTGAATGAAAATGCTAATAAAAACATACCATATTCACCACACAATTAATAACCTTTTACTGAGGCATATGCAATCAAACATTTGAGAGCAGAGGAAAGCAGCAGATCCCAATCCACTTGCATGACAAGTGAGCATGAAGGCTGTGAGCTGGGCACTAGGTACCGTCTCTGTCCTGAGGACTGAAGATCTGACAGGCAGCCAGGACAGTGCTGAGAGGGCAACCAGGCTCAACCCTCAAGGTTTAGGAACAGGTAATTTCATCACAAATGGGAAAGTTTCCAGAAAAGGAGCTACAATGAGCAGATTCTTGATGAATTTAAGGACTTAGTGAGACAAAAATACATGGGCTATTGGAGGGGAGAGAGGGTAGCAGCATTCAATACACCGGACAGGTGATAGGGTCCAACAGTCATGTGCTACACACACATGGATTTTATTCTCCTACAGAAGCGTCTTCTGGAGCGACACAGGGGTTTTCAGCAGGGAAATGACCAGATTTGCTGAAAGAAGAATGGGTTGCGTTTGAGATAACAGCAGGAATCCAGGGTCACAGACCAAAGAACTATCACTAGGGGGTTAGGAAGAAGAAACAAGTGCCTGGGAGAAGTAGGAGTGCAAGAAAAAAAAAAGCCTGGGGACACAAGAATAGCCTCCACTGAGGAACATGTTATGAGCACACGGGCGAGGAAGAAGAAAAGTACTTTAGTCTGGGGCACATCCTTCCCATGCCAGGTGGAAGGGCTAGGAAAATGCCTGGGCCCCCACCAGATGGGAGTCAATGGTGGCCAAAATTCTGAGAGTGAGGTCCCCAGGTGCAATGCAGTAAATAAACCGGAGGCTACTCACAGGCCAGAGACTTCAGGGACAGGTGCAGGTGAGGGCAGAGCCTGAGGAGCCCAGGTGCGCACCACATAGGAAAGCAAACTGATGCCCACAAAGCTCAATTTACCCACAAGGTGAACAACTTTTTCAGGATGTTTTATTGACCATCCAGAGGTAGCAACTGGGACCAATGCTCAGTATTTGTTTAGTAAGTGAAAACCAGTAGGTGTAGCCACATGTCACCTCCAAACTTCTTTAGTTTTCACATCCACTCGACCCACAGAAAATGGTATCCTCCTCTATCCACCCTCCAGTCTGCATTTCCAACCCTACCACATTTTTTAGGAGTCATGAGATTTCAATCTCTCCCCTTCCACCCAAGAACAAAGAAGGCCTCGCTGGTCCTCACATGCACTCACACACCTCCAGGCTCCTTCTCTGCTTCCTCTTCCTGACAGATCACTTGGAACCGTCCAAGATGTCTTCACTTCCTGCTCACTCTTCACCCACCATCGCCTGCCTTTTCTACAACTCTGCTGCAATACTAATTTTTTCATGGACTTGAAGGGTGCCCAAACTTGTAGCTTCTTTCTAATCTTCACACTACTAAATCTATTACTAGATTTAGCTCATGTCACTCTGCACTAGGTGTACTGATCACCCTGGTGTGTTTCAAATACATCAATGCTTCTGCTCCTCAGCACACATTTAACACGAAAAACATCACCTCATCCTATTAATTTCGGGGTATAGTTCAACACCCCACTGATAGGACACTACTTTCAAAAAGTTCAGGGGATCCCTGGGTGGCTCAGCGGTTTGGTGCCCGCCTTCAGCCCAGGATGTGATCTTGGAGTCCCGAGATGAGTCCCACATCGTGCTCCCTGCATGGAGCCTGCTTCTCCTTCTACCTGTGTCTCTGCCTGTGTGTGTGTGTCCCTCTCTCATGAATGAATAAAATCTTAAAAAAAAAAAAAAAGTTCAGTGGTGCCTCTTCCTAAGCACCTCAGCATTTATAATTTAAAGTCTGTCCTTGCCACACCTACCACCCTACACCACCATGTCTTCAGGTGTGCTCCCCATCCCCAGCAATGAAGGGTTCTTGAGAGGGATCAGTTCTTCTCATCTTCAGTCCAATGCTTTAACAGGTGCTAGATGTTCAATACACATGAACTTTCTGAATCCAAATTTATAAGATTCAGGAAATCAATGTTCTGGCTCTAAATCATTTAGAAAATCTACTGTTTCACATCAAAGTAGTTTGCCAAGGACATTTTTAAGCACTTAGATTTGACTCATAGTTGAGCAAATATGGTTCCAATTCAGCTCATTCCAGGTTTTAAGTAACATTTGATTCAAGTCCCTCATAAGAGCCAAAGTCCTAAAATGAAATAAAGAGAGTAGGAAGGAGGTGGGGGAGAAGATTGGATAGTGAAAGACAGGAAAATTATCAATACCGGAAAAAGCTGCCACTGTTACAGGCATTCATCATGATCTCTATGGGTTCAACACCGGTTTACCTTTAAATTCAAGGACCAGTCTCTTCACCCTACAGTTACAATAGAACAAGGGTCCACCCTGAAAGTCACACAAGGGAGTTTAGTTTACTAAGATACAAACAGACCAGCCTCTACAAGGTCAAGACCAATCAACCTTCCATAATTCTTTCCATGCCAACCAAGATCATTGGTTAAACACCTGTCTCCCCTCTTGAGGACAAAGGTCTGATCACCTGGCTCCAAGTCTCTTCACCTCCAAGCTTAGCCCTCATAGCATATAAGCCACCCCAGGTAATTTTACCTGCACAAACTTTAATAAAAAGAATGTTGTGAAGATTCACCTGAAATAGATATTCAACTAAGATTCACTTCCACAGTGCAAGAGTAACACCCTGACGTTTAAACAGATGTATTACGGGGGGGGGGGGGGGGGGGGCTTAGAAAAAACGGTATTTTTTGGTATGAGCCTGTTAAATGTTCACAATTTTAGTGCTACCTGGATATCTTCCACATTTACTGTTTAATCCCAATTAGGAAAATCAAGAAATAGGAATTAGAGGGTTTCAAACGAAGCACTTCCCACATGATTGCAGCTGCACAGCCCAGCCTTGTGAGCTCTGGTGGCTGGCCACACCAGGGGCTGGCTGTTCACTACACCCCAGCAGCCTGGACCTGGGGTTCCCACCTGAGCTCCATTCCCTTCACCTTGTCCCCACTCTCGGGCCCCCTGTTCTGGGAGCACAGGCACACGGGGTGGGCAACAGGAAGGATGCTCCTGCTCCAAATCTGCCTCAGAAAGAAGCAAAGTAGCAACTGGCTGAGGTGGCAGATGGGTTTGGGGGACTTACCTATGCGACAGGATGCCGGACCCCCACCAGGCAGAGGCCGGAGACATGGCCCCCCACCCGATATCCCCCCCTCCTCTCTGGTCAGGAAGTAGCCCCCTCTACATGTCGTCCCCTCCCTGACTGAGGGTCCCAGTAGGGCATGACCCAGATCTCCACGCCTCCCTTCATGCTGCCTCTAATCGTGGGTCCTTTAGACCCCGTGTTCCAGCCTCCAGGCCGCGGGTCTAGAAGACGGCCCCCCAGGTCCCCTGCCGTAGGTCCCCTGCCGTAGGTCCCCTGCCGTAGGTCCCCTCCCTGGGTCCTCTCCCGAAGGTCCCTAGGCCGCCCCCCAGGTCCCCTCCCTGGGTCTGCTTCGGAAGGTCGCTGCCCTGGGCTCGCCGGTCGCAGGTCCCGCAGGACCCCCACCCCCAGGTCCTCCACCTGCCCTCCGTGGGTCAGCTCCCGAAGGTCCCTAGGCCGCCCCCCAGGTCCCCTCGCGCAGGTCCCTTTCCCCCGGCCCCCCCGGCCCCCCCGGCCCCCCAGCCCCGGGCCTGCTCGGCGCCCGGCGGCCCAGCGTCCGCGCAGCCAGGCCGGCGGGGCCCAGACGTTCTGCGGCCAGGCGCGCGCCCGCGGCGGGAGCAGGGACGGGACGGGGACGGGGACGGGGACGCGGCGGGCGGAGGGCGCGGGCGGGCGCGGGCGGGCGCGGGCGGGGGCGGCGCGGTACCTGCGGGTCGATGTCGCCCACCGCGTAGTACTTGACCTCTCGGAACATCTCCTCGGGAACTTTGGGCGCCGGGTCCGACATGGTCGCGGTGGCCGGAAGGCTCCGCGGCGGCTCCCGCCCCGCCCCGCGGGGCCCGCTCCCCAACGGCGCGGCCGGGCCCCGGTCCTGCGAGTCGGGCCCGCTCCCCCGCCCTCCGCGCCCCCGCCCGCGCCGAGCGGCCCAAGCGCGGGAGCCGCGCGCGCCCTTCGGGACGCACCATCCCGCCGGCCGCCGAGGGGGAGCGCCGAGGGCCCGGCCGCCCGCCGGCGCCGCCCCCCACCTCCCCCGCGGCTAGGAACCTCCGCGGGCACGGCCCCCACGAGGCCCGCTCCACACACCCGGAACCCGGAGCCGCCGCCGCCACGAGAGGCGGACCCCGAGGACGCGGACAAACCCGCCCCCCCCCCGGCGCGGTCCGAGTGGGCCGGTCCCGGGAAAGAAGGGAACGCGGAGGCCCCTCCCGTCAACACGCGCGGCCGCTCGGGCTGCGCAGGCGCGCGGCGCGGGGGGCGGGGCTGGCGGCGGCGGCGGAGGCGATGGCGGAGGCGATGGCGGCGCGGGGCGGCCTCGGGCCCCGGAGGGACTCCCGTCGCCGCCGGCCGCCCGACGGGACCGAGGTAACGCCGCAGTGCCCGCGGGCGACAGAGGTCGGGTCGCGGGCGCTCGGTCCCAGCCGAGGGGCGGGCGCCGGACGGCGTGCGGGACGGAGGGCGCCGCGGCTGGCCGGGGTCCTGGGCCTCGCCGGTGGGCGTCTCGCCGTCGCACCCGCAGCGCACTCCTGCCGAGGGAGGCCCTGCCCCCCCCCACACACACACACACAGCCCCCGGCGGCGGCCCGTCGTGACGTGCGCGTCCTGACGTCACCCTGCCGGCGCCGCCCTACGTGTCCTCTCCCTGATGTCACCCGGCGGCGCCGCGGAGCAGGCTGCTGTCACCTGCTGAGTGGTCAGCGTTCTCGAGCCAGTGCGAGTGCGGTTGGTTTTTTAAAGACCCGGGAACCTCCGGAGTTCCGTTCTGGGGTCTGCCTGAGCTGTGCGGTCTGAGGGCAGCGTGGGGGAAGATGGGGGGATGGGGGAGGAGGGAGCAGGACGGGGTGGTGGGACCAGGGCAGGGTAGGGTGGGGGGGAGAATGAGGATGAGGAAGGACGGGGAGGACGGAGCAGGACAGGGTGGTGGGACTGGAGAGGAGGAGGCAGGATAGGGGAGGTTGGGGAGGATGGAAGAAGATGGGGTGATTGGACTGGGTAGCCCAGGAGGACGGGAGAAGAAAGGGAAGGACTGGTGGGGGTGTTGGCTGGCCGGGGAGGACGAGGCAGAACGAGGAGGAGGGAGCAGGACAGGGAAGGACGGAAGAAGATGGAGCAGGATGGGGGAGGATAGAGCGGCCGGGGAGGACAGGGCAGCTGGCTGGAGGGCGCCTCGCCGGGTGCGTTTGGACTCACCACTCCCTGTGTGCTTGCAGCCAGCACATTCCTGCGATGCTCCCTGTGTGCTTGCAGCCAGCACATTCCTGCGATGAAAAATAAAAACGTTGAGTGCTTGTTTGAATAAGAGCTGCCCTCCTTACTCTGAGTACCTGACAACGTATTTGATGTTGATGGTTACATTTTATGTTCAATGTTAAGAAAATGGGAGTGTAATAAATCCCTTGTATAAAGACTGAACCAAAATTAGCTGGCCCTGTTATAGTATGACAGGACTCCTTTAGCTCTCTCCTTCTCTGGTTAAACACAAACTGCATAATTTTAAAAGATGTAAAGCATACCAAGCAGGTGTTTTGTTTTCTAGGTTAGAAAACTTGTCTGGTTTAGCAGAACAAACCTACCCTGCTGGGACTCAAGAGTGGACAAGGAGGATGGAAGTAACATCTGTATACATCTGCTCCGTGTAAAATGCCAACCTGTCATCCCCAGGGAGCTGCATGGGCCCATGGTGCACATGTGTGCACCTTGCACCAGCAGCAGGAGGGCCAGGCATCAGCACCCAGGAAACACTCTCAGGGTGCGGTCAACAGGGCCACTTTGCCAGGGACCAACAAATAAAAACCTCTAGACAAGATCAATTCCACATGGGTGCTAGATGCTCTGAGGAAGCCAACAAGACTGGCATCCTGAACCCACCTGCCAAAGGACTTGAGAAGGCAGTTCAGTTTTTTAAAATTAGCCCTACGACTCATAAAAATGATTCTCGCAAAAGGTTCACTTCTTAAGATGTCCATACGCAAAATTATGGAAGAAAAATACCACGTTGAGATGGCTGTATTTTCTTCACAAATAGATATTTCTTGTTGATTTTTGTGGCACTTAGAAGATGTCCCAGATTAGAGATAATAACAGTATTTGATTGATTAAACAGAAGCTTTGCACTTCACTTTGATGCACGTACTACCCTCAGATATGATACCATTAATAGTTTTACACTCCTTCCAGCAAAGTTCAAACCATGGTCATTTCGTTGATAATCAGCCTTCAGATAATAAACAGATATTGCTTGATGCTGATATAGTAAATAGGGTCATACATTTCTTGTTTTCTGTTTTGCAAGTTCGATGGCCCAAGGCTACAAAAAAGTGCAGTGTGAAATTGAAAAAGCAAAACTAGAGCTGAGAATACTTCAGTCATACTGGTGGGAATTTGAAGTGTTATTGAGAAAAGTATTTCCAAATGGCTTTTTCTTTAATGCATCTCTATATTGTATAGAACACTCAGCCTTGTTCTCATATTCAGTTCAGATGGTCACACACCCCTTAAAGTTAGATATTAGCAATGTTTAGTAAACCTTTCATCTAGGTTTATAGACTACAACATTTAACCTTTCTCATAAAAGGAGATACTTACATTAATGTTAGAGGCACAAACAAGCCAGAGTCTTAGAGAACCTGGGAACCCCAAGGGTGTTGTTTATGGGAAAGGTTTGGTCAACTCCCACACAGCACAGTTGCCACCAATAGTCATCTAACTAATGTCTAAAAACTAGAAAACACAAGGAAAAAGTAAATTACCCCAAATCCAATCCCCAGAAGCAAACACTTAAAGACCTTCCGGACATTGTCGCATAGAAAAATATTTCCTTAAAAAAAATTATACTACACAGGCTCTTCTGTTGCCACTTAAGAAAGAATTGTCCTTGTCAGTACATACTCTGCATTATTTAATGCATATGCAGTACAGGTTTTTAATGTACCTGAATTTAACCAACTGTTGCACATTTGTTTCCAGTGTAACAATTACAATGCTGCAGTGAAGCAGTTATCTTAAAAATATACATGCATGTGCGATGTCCTGTATACTGTCCCACTCTCAAAGTTAGAAAGTATGTCCTATACCTGTCTCCCATCACTCTGAGCACAGTGCCTAGCATGCGGTATATTAGCCAAGAGGACTTAAATCAGCAGTTCTCCACTATTGGCAGTTTTGCCACCCTGTCCAGATGGTGTCCAGACAGACAAAATGTCTGGAAACATTTTTGATTGTCAGGACTAGAGGTGGGGCACTAATATTTTGTATAGAGGCCAGGGAGCTGCTAAATATTGTACAATGTGCAGGACAGCCCCAACAGCATAAGCCTGTGCAAAATGTCAACAGCACCACTATGGAGAAACCGTGTTTAAAATGATGGAACAAACTACATTCCACTGAATTAAGACATTGAGATTTTCTTGCACACAACTAGGTGGCTTGCTCAATTAGCTTTCCTCCAAATGGGCACTTAGGGCTTCTGTCATTCTGTGCCTTTGCTGTCTGAGACCCATTTGCTTTCAGATATTCGGACCGAAAGAAAGCTCACAATATCATGCAGGAAGTTCTATGGCCAGGAAAGAGCATCACACTTCTGCACCCAACCACTTCCATTAGCCAAATCCTAGTCTTGTGACCCCCACCTAAACTGCAAGGAAGGCTGGGAAGTGTTGTCTTCTATGTATCTAGGAAAAGGAAATGGGATCGTTGGCATCTTGCCGACTTCTGTCCTTTTTTTTTTTATTTATTTTAAAAACTACAAATTAAGATTGGAGAATGCCAACATAACACAAAATTGTTAGATAATCTTTTTAAATAGCATGTTTGTGTATAGCTGCTCAATAGGTATTTGTTGAATCGTAATTTTTATTTTTTAAAGATTTTATTTGTTTGAGAGAGGGAGAGAGAATATGAGGTGGACTCCGCACTGGGCACAGACCCTGACGCGGGGCTCAATGCAGCCATGAGATCGTGACCTGAGCTGAAACCAAGCCTAACCAACTGAGCCACTTGTGCCCCAATAGTGTGTTTTGTTTTTGTTTTTAAGCAACCAGGTATTTATTGAGGGCCTGCAATGGACCTGCTGGTTATCTTACATCATCTTCCCACCCTCAGATCTACACTCCATCCTTCACCTTGTTCTCTGTCCCAGGACCCTGACCTGACTGGGTTGTATAGTTTCCCTCATACACTGGCTTCCAGGTGAATTTGCTGAAGAGGGAAGCCCAGCGGAGGTTGAGATTAGGCTGTTTATTTCCCACATTCCGCATCAAGTTGGCTTGAGCTGGCGAAGTAACTAACCTGTCCTGCACAACCTTCTCCAACCGGGGTCTTGCCAGCTTGCCTTCCTCTCTTCTCTTTGGACCTAGGCTCCTCCATTATCCACACATCCTGCCTACACCTTTGTGAGTAGTACATTTAAAAACCAACTCGCTCAGATGACCCTGATTTGAGGGTGCTGCTTCAGTTGCAACCCTAGCTGGTATTATGGACATGAAAACCCGATGGGAACAGTGGGAAACGTTTTTGTTTTCTTTCAAATACAATACTATGTCTGCCCTAAAAAAAAAAAAAAACTTACAAGTATCTAGGATACCCAAGCCAGGCATGAGTGGAATTAGTGAGAAATACAGCCGATATTGAGAGAAGAGGTCCCCATGTGCTTAGATAGCTAGGAAAGATGTCTTGTGTGGAGTGGATAAGAAGTAATTCTCAGGGAGATCACAGATGAGCGGCGTGAGGTCAGAAGGCTGGTGTTGCTGAATAGAAAGTTGCACATTTTAGATATTAAGTCATTGATTATTTGATACAAGTAAAAATGGGGAACAATGCAAAATAAATAGGTTCTGTTTAGTGTATGAAAATCTTGGATCCCCACCAGAGCAGACTGTTGCATTTGAGGTATAGAATCATCCTGTAGCTGTGGGAATTGGAGAAAATAGCCTGTTAGCTATTTAAAATGAAGTGGTTTGTGACAACCTGGTTGCAGGATTAACTGCGGCATCATTTATGTCATGGACTTTGAAGTATGTGGAAATAAAGTCGTCATTGTGAGTAGTATTGACCGTTTGATGTGAAGCACTAAACAGCATTAACCTGCCAAGAAATTCAAACACATTTGTTTATAGTAATTAAAATGAACGAGTTCAGCATTCAAATTTGGGGGAAGAATTATGCCCCATCGGCTGCTACTATCGCTTCATGGTAGCCACCTTGATCAGATGGGCTACATTTAATTTCTCTCTGTGTTCACGGGCACCAGCCACAGGAAGTACATGCTGAAGCAAGAGAGCCCTGGAATTTGGAAGATTCCCTACAAATTGGGGCCACTCGCCTTTGCAGGTGAGATCAAGTATCTATCAAAGAGCTCCTCTTCATCAAAACTCTTCTGGGTGGTGGCTTTTGGGAATCTCAATTGGCTTATCTTCACAGGGTGGGTCCCATGAAAGGGCCTTGACCACAGTGCCCCAGGCTCTTGTCAATTGCATGTAGCTTGAGAACATGGTAAACAGGATGGGGAGTCCAAAGACTGCCAAGAGGATACCGGCTCAGATATTTTTAGGCGTAGAAACAGCACTGCCAATGAACTACACACCAAAACCATTATGTTATTACTTTGAGACTTTCTCCAGAGGCTAGAAATAAGTATCCAAAGCTCATCTGGACTGGCATGACAGTTTAAGATTGTAGAGAGAGCTGGGTCTCTGCAAAAATATATGCTTAATTTTATCTCATGGTTCACCAGCTAATTAAGACTGTAAGTGAGGATCTGGTTCTGAACTCTGTCGCACTTTGATAAAGATTTTAATACCTTGACTCTAATTTGCTGAGCCATTCCTTCTCTTTGGGTCTATCTCCATCTTCAAGGTATTGTGAGTCAACCTCACTTCTCTAATAGGATATTCCGACGATGAGAAGCCTGAGGCCCAGAGAACTTAAGTATCTTGCCCCTAGTCACAGTTACTTGCAGAATTTGGGCTAAATCCGTCTTTTTGGATTTATTCTCATTTATTCTTTAGAAGAATTAAAAGGAACAAGGTTTAATTTCACCTATAACAGAAGCAGGAGAAAAGGTACTCTCTAAAAATAATATTCGTGGTATGGAAAACTTAGCTTTGTATCAGTTAAATAGTCCACTGATACATATTTTTGTAGCTAACATCTATTCCTCCTTTGGAATTGGCTGATAATGAAGAGATGATAGTTATATCTAAGTTCAAAACTTACCAATTTTAGTCTTGTGTCAGTTTTAATTTTCTGATTTAATTAGTTTCCTAATTAGAAGGGGTTAAATTAATTAACCTCATTATTTACTATATATTTAATGATTTCTCCTCTATTGGGAGTTACTTAATTTTCAATAATTGGAAAGCTTGTGACAAGAGGGAATATTGCCAAGTTTTATACTTACTGCTTGATGATCAAGGCAAGAACAGGACAGGCTGACGGGAATTTTAGGTGAGGTATCAGGTACATGCAAAGGCCATTTCCTCCTTATTTTGAAACATGGTAAATGTAAAAACAGGTTGAGATTCCATAATTTCTATCAAATTAGAACTCAGTGGATATGTCTTGTATTTAAAGTTAAAAGATATCCTAGGACATAGGATTTTATAAGAAATAGCCCTACCACATGATCTTAGTTAAGGACAATAAAATAATCATAAAGCTTTGAATAATTCTAGATAATCATAATGGCTTTCTGAAATTATCACCCATATAAATGACACAGTAAAATATTCAGATTTTCCTCAGACTTGTTAACAGACTACATCAATGACATTTGAGATGATCCAGTAAAACCATGACCTAATATCCATATGGCTTGTGGAAACCACATAGGCCTGTTCTTTTGGGTGTATGTATGTGTTTATATAAATAATTTGTGGATAGCTATGTTTTAAAGACATGATACACACACACAAAAAGATTAAACAGTTTTTCAAAGAGCAAAAATGAGACTGGATCTGTAAAATGGCTGGATTTTTCTCTTCCCCACTTTCCAAGTACATCCTCATGTAGATTGGAGTGATCAGTCCTATGCTGTGCAGAGAGTATCAGAGACAGCACATGGCTGCCCACTTACCCAGGCCTCTTCATTGCTGCCTGTCCATAGCACAGCACTACCTGGCGGAAGCTCAGGTCCGCCATAGGTTACATGAGGGAAGCTTGGGGGCACAGGTGGTGGTGGTAGTGGTACAGTTTTAAACGCAGATCTAACATATTTAGAAAAATTAGGTGTCTGGTTATAGGAAGTGCACTTCTGTTGAGCAAACATTTATTGAGCATGAGGGAGCACGGCAAATAGGCATTGCTAAGCCGTCAAGATGCCCCCTCAGAATGAGAGCCATTCTTTTTTTTTTTTTTAAGATTTTATTCATTTGAGAGAAAGAGTGCATGCATGCACAGGGGGAGGAGTAGAGAGAGAAGGACAAGCAGACTCCTTGCTGAGCATGGAGTCCAAAGTGGGGCTCGATCCCATGACCCTGAGATCACAACCTGGGCTGAAGTCAAGAGTTGGATGCCCCTGACTGAGAGCTGTTCCCTAAGCAGCATATTAAATTCCAACATGAGTAGCATAGGGTCCTGGAATTCAAGCAGGGAGATGCCATGGGGCCTGGGGTGATTAAGGCTCTGGCAGGTAATAAGGAGAGGAAGAAGGCACCCATTCCTGTTCAGAGCAGCAGCCTCAGCAGATACCCAGCCCGGAACCAACGTGGCAAGACGGCAGCTCCTGACCCAAGGAGGAAGGGGCTGTGGGGCAGGGCTCTGGAAGACACGTACCATGTAGTGGATCAAAAACCTTTAGAGCAGAGCTGTGTAGGAAGTAACAATGATCGCCCACAGTTCTCGTGGATCAGAATCTATCTGTTATGAGGGTGAAAACTGAGCAAGCAGTAGGAGCTGGTCTTCCATTTGATCCCATTTGGAAGATACCTGCCCTATCAGTGTAAAGCAGGCATAGTACCATACGAGTTCCACAGTGCTTGAGAAGTGCTGGCTGCACAGTGCTCCCCTTGGGGGACCCATGCTGCCCATGGTGTCTCACTGCCCATGGGGCACAGTCCAAACCCATTAGCCTGCCATCAGTGAGCACCAGGACCTCCTATACTCCCTGTGGATGCCCCATCATTATCCTCCAGAACTGAGCACCCCACACCTGTCTCTGCTACTTGCCTTCCTCCATGCTCTCTTCCCACCAGACTGAACTGTTTGACTTGCCTCAAGCCTGGCCACGACTCCATGGCTCTCTAAGGTCAGTTGACCTCTCCCTGTGGAACGACCCTCTCCACTCAACGCACCAGAGCCGATCTTACCTCTTCTTATGGCCAAGATCAAACCCCCACGTCTTGAAACATCTCTCGTGACTTGACATAGAATTCTTTTGGTCCTTTCTATTTACAAGTAAATTATGTCAGCAGAGGCTCTTTGGCGTGGATGGAGGATGACTAAGCCAATCAAATAGGAGAGAGTTTATCTCAACCCAGTGTGATGGCTGGTGTGATATGTCTGTGAACCATTTTCAGGGCAAAGGATTTAACAGGGAACCTAAAATGTGAGTGCTTGCCTTCACCCCAATACCTAATATTTAAAATACCAAAAAAGACTTTATTTTGAAACACTTCTTCATCTCATATCTTGTCCCCACCCCACCCCCACATAATCCCTCCACTACTAATTAAAACAAGTCGTATTTCCCTTAACATGTGTTTCTCCCCCCTACACACACTGTTTAAAGTGGTGCCTGATGTCAGGAGGACACATATTTAAAGGGTGGATGGGGACACCTGGGTGGCTCAGCGGTTGAGCACCTGCCTTTGGCTCAGGGCGTGATCCCTGGAGTCCCACGATCAAGTACCACATTGGGCTCCCTGCATGGAGCCTGCATCTCCCTCTGCCTATGTCTCTGCCTGCCTCTCTCTCTCTCTCTCTCTCTCTCTCTCTCTCTCATAAATAAAATATTTTTAAAAAGAATGGATGGATGTGTTTTGAATGAATTAATATCATTGCTAAGGATTCTTCACCCTAGTTTTGGGGCACCTCTAAAGACAGTCATCACTGTGCAAATTTAAAACAAAACTCTTCTCATGAAGTAGCTATGTTAGTGGCTATTGGGTTTTATTTTACAGATAGGGAAATGTTCAGAGAGGTTAAGTCTTGGGTCAGAAAATTTTTGTGTGTGTGAAAGGCCAGGTAAAAAATATTTCAGACATCATGATCTGTAGAGTCTTTTTTTGTTTTCTTTACCTTGGCAGTTGCAGTGGGAAGGCAGCCATAGACAATGTGCTTACCAATGAGCAAGGCTGTGTTCCAATAGAACTTTACTTGCAAAAACAGGCAATGGGCCAGATTTAGCCTTTGGGCCTAAGTTTGCTGACATGGGGTGGGGGGTGAGGGAATCCAGGGTTACAGACTTGAAAGTGGAAGAAACAAAGGCTGACACCAACAGGTGTGAACGAAGCCACCAGCCTCATGGCCCCCGTTGGCACACTTTCTGCTTCACTGTGATAATTCTGCTCTCGGGAGGTCTGTCTGAATGCTTGACCATCAGGAAAACAGGGGGATTAGGGCTAATTAATTAGTCCAGACTTTGAAATCCAGAGAGAAAAGGGCCTCATATTAAGTGCAAATCATCATCCTAAGTAATATATTTGTGGCACTTTCATTAAATTTTCTCTCAAATCTTGAAAAATATGTATCTCCTGGCTGCCAACATTTTCATCTTAGCATAATTATGAAGCCTCCCCAAATAATCATTTTTCAGTTTGTGATACTCAGTGGGGCACAATGCCAGCTGCTGAGACTTGACCGAGCTGTTTGAGACTTATTAGCATGGCACAGGTGAAAATGAGTAAAGTCTTAGTGAAATTCGTTCATAGTATATCGAATATAAATGCCTATTGTGTAGTGACGCTCGTGGAAAAAAAAGAAAAGCACTCATCTGAAAGAAGTTATAATAATTCAGTGTCTGCCAAGATAAATATAAGGATTTTTAGGCACATTTTCACAAGATATTTCACAAGATAAAACTATTTTTGTTACCAAAAAAAAAAAAAAAGCCGGACATTTCAACACGAGATAATTGTTTTTAGGGATAACATGTTCACAAAGAGAAAATGGTGGCAAAATTAGGTATGTGGTTCCTTAAATAAGTTAAAATACATTTTCTTTTTTTCCATTTCCTAACATGAACAAATATTTTGGACCTTAAGCTTAGAACAAATCTGAGGACTATAAATCTTAAAAAGTGTCACTCTTTATTTATGACATTCTATTCCTAGTCAATTCTAAATTGTTAAATTCTAAATTCTTACATTATTTTTCTAAGATATTAATTTAAA